TTTGTTTTGTGTGTGTGTTTGTTTCCCCCTTTTCTCTTGTAGCAACAACTACGTATGCGGATCAAGTTGACGTATAATCACAAGGGCTCAGCAATGCAGGATCTAGCAGAAGTCAACAACTTCCCCCCTCAGTCTTGGCAGTGAGGCTCTGGCACCATTCTTATTCTCATCCCACCCAATCAAAAGAACTCTGGGAAGAAGGTTGTGATCCTTGGCAATCCCCCAAACTGCACCATGGGCATGGGGAACAGATGAGACCTGCTGATGAGGAGGAATTTTCCTGAAGTGATTGCTGACTTTGAAGCATATCTGTTAAGACTAATCTCCTCTCCTCCGCTGATGAGGCTGGTGGCTTGTGGACGCTACTGTGCACTCCCTCACACATGCATTCACAGCCAGAAGCAACATTCCCTTCTCCCCTTCCCCCTGCCTTCCCCTGGCCCCTCAAAGAGAAACACAGCCTGGTTGGAAGAGAAGTCTGGAATTTCTAGCAGGGAAACTTTCTTCTCTCTGCAGCAAGTGAGCAGTTGCCCCTTCTTTCTGCTGTCTTTTTTCCCTGGGATGGGCAAGGCGTGTTGTCATTCATTTCTAGCTGGATTCCTTCAGGCATTTTCATCTGGGACTCAGATGGGGACTTGGGGAATGTCAGGCTGCCCTGCCTCTTTCTTCTTGTATCCCGTAGGTCTGAAGGGGCTGGAGGCTTCTTATGACCTACTCAGTGCATTATTGTATACACCCACCTCTTAGTTATGTGATGGCATACGAAGAGCAAGTGAGGCCTTGGGAGTTCATCTGCAAACCTGGGACAGTGCAGGAGAAGAGGTGCTGGCAAGAGCTGGTAAAATTGTGTTTGGTGCTGTACTTGGAAATGAAGACCTTACACTTGAATTTTCTTTCTTTCTATCAGTAGCTACAGCCATGCAGATCCACAGAGTCTTCTGTAGCTTCCCCAGAAAGTGTAGTGAGATATGAGAGATGTAGGGATCCAAGGAGCAGCTGGTTTCCTACCACAGACGGTTTCAAAGTCTTTCACCCTGTTAGTTGTGGTTTATGGGTAGAAAAGACACATTCAGTTTTGTAGATCAGTCTTTGGGCAAGGGCTCTGCTCCTGCTGGGAGACTCATCAGAGACCATGCTGCAAAGTTGCTCTTCCTGGTTATTCCAGACCTTCTCCCCAATTTGATTTCCAGAGCCTGTTGTAGACCCCCTGGGTTCCATTTGAGTTACTTCTGACTGGGATATTTGTGTTGTATCTGTAATATTGGCACTGAAATAAAGACCATGCGGTTTAAAGAGACCTTTCCCATTTTGTTACTTAATTGATCCTTGTAGTTTGCTCCTTGCTCCCCTTTCAGGAGAGTAATGTGCCAGTTCAGGTTCAGACTGAAAGTAATTTTACTGTGTTTTGAACGGAAGCCAGTTGTTTGAGTATTTGGATCCCAAGAGGTGAGGTACAGTACCCCTGGGAGCTCATGGAAAGCTGTGTTCAGGATGTTCCTGTGGAACTGCTGGGAGGTGGTGCAGTTCGGGGTGGTCTCTCAGAGGCCATGTGTAGGACATAAAGCACAGTGTGACAAACTGTTCAGATGTTCAGTGCTCTTCAGGGAGGAAGAGGGGAGGATACATCTTAGATCTTCATCTGTGAGTGTGCTGGTAAGCTGGAGGTAGGGCGCATCTGCTTCAGTTCTGTTTTAGGGCTTTCTGGACAGTGATCGTTGAGTGCTTTCGTAGCAAACTTAGACACAGCTTTTTGTGTCTGCAGAAGTGCTAATGCTGGGCTCCAGTCCTTGCCAAAAGTATTGCAAGAGTGGTACACAGTGTACTTTGGAAAAATTGAAGACCTATTCTGCCATTGAATTGGGAACAGGAGGCCACTAAAGGTTGTTCAATCTGCTTTGGTTTTAACTGCATTAAGTAATATAAGGTAGGACTGACTGTCACTGACATAAGTGCCAGTCACGTGTAGTGGAGTAAGTTTGTCTTCTCTCAGAGGGCATTTTTGCTACCTTACTGAACAGGTTTGGGCCTTTGGATTAGCAAAGAGCTTTATTCTACTAGAACTGGCATCAGCATGGGGTTATAAAATCTAGAAGAATAATGTATGATTTCCTTAAAAGTAACTTTGGGTTGTGGTAGGGTCATGCCTTGGCTATCAGTGGTGAGATAGATCCTGTGCTTCTAGCTAGAAGCATTATGAAACAGGCAGTCTAGCAGGAAATGGCTGAATTAAGGTACATTTCTGGTGCTGAGCATTTAACTTTGTTGCTTTCACTGCAGTTCTGGCTACTCACCACCCCACTAGCTCAAACTCAGTGTTGAAGACTGACCATGTTAAGTCCATACTTCAGTGAGCTCTGAGGGCGTCCCAGAGAGAAAGCTAATGGAAAGTCTTTGCCTTGCTTCCTGAGCTCCTTATAAGCTCTCCTGTTCTCTTCACAGAATTATACATGGTCACTTGTACTGAAAGCCAGCACACCTTGTTCTCCCTTTGGTTTTGCTGGGAAAGAGCACTGGTGCGGGAGATTAGATGGGAAGGAAAAAGGAAATGGTCTCTCACCTGGCCAGTTTGTTGCAGCAGAGTTGGGAACAGTGTATCTCGTCCCTCTTGTCATGCTTGTGTTCTGTCCCTAGAGCAGCTGGGTTTTGCTGTTGGTCTCTGGTAAGCTTGTAGGATGAATTCCTTCTGTGTTCTTGGCTCCTTCAGCCAACCTTGCACCGTGTCTGTGCTTGGGGAAATGGGCACTTTGTCACGTGGAGGCTGGAGGAGGCGGCGCGTGTGCCCGAGATGTGTTTTGCAGGAAGACATCCCTTGGCTATGAAGAACTCTTTTGTAGCAGCCAAACATTCCGCTTGTCCTTGGAGCTCTCTCCCCTCCTCACTAAGGGATGGGTGCTGACGTTCTGCCAGAAAGAAGGCCAGGCTTCCCACCTTCCCGTACCTGCAATCCCAGATAACGCTGCTTGCTCCTTGACCCCCGTGTGCTCCTCAAGCTCTGTGCTGCTGCTGGGGTTTCCCTCTGGAGAGTACTCGCACGTCTGAGGCACTCCCAGACTGAGTCCTTTTCCCACCAGCTGAATGCAACAATTCTTACAGGCCTGGTCAACGTTTTACTTGCTTCACTGTAAGGGGAATATAAAGGCAGCAAGATACAGACTTCGTGGCTAATCTTACTAACCTACACGGGAGACTTCGGAGCTGGGAGATATTGAATGTCTGTTTTTTTCAAGTGAATGTATTTTGAGTCAAAAAATGACAGAAACAATAGTGGCCATAATGGGCCTGAAGGGGGAGGAGACATGGGAAGGTCCTAAAGTCGACTTTATCCAGGTTTTGATGGGACAAAATATGGCCTTGAACAACTTATTGAAGCAATAGCAGTGAGGGGACTGCCACCTTTACAGTACCTTGGATCTATAACTTGGAAGATGCTGAAACAGCTGGGAAAGGTGCCAGTGCCTTCCCTGAGGCTGGTCCCAGCTGTGAGCTGCGGCAGCAATGACGCTGGTGCACTTTTATGTGTTCATTTTCTACTTGGAGGCTGTGAGGGAAGGAGCTGCTGGACTACTTCCCTCTGAACTTTCACTCTATTCCTGTATATTTCTTTTTCTTTCCCGATGTTGTAATTTAAATTTTGCATAGAGCCCCAATTCCACTTCTTTGACAGTATAGAGAAAAAAAGAAGCAAACAAAAAACCCCATGAAAATACAAACCCCCAACAAACCCAACCAAATTTGAAGTAAGAACATGCCATTTGAGCAGGGAGCCTGGTGGCACTTGAAATTCTGGAGACCTATTTTTGAGATGTGAAAAATTTAAGTAAATGCTGAGTCGTAGGTGAGTGAGGAGCTTAACGGATGTAAACATTTACATGGGATGCATTAGACTTCTGCTGTGTGTATTGTCTTTTGGTTGAAACAAATTATGAAGTGACTAATAAAATGAGTCAATATTCAATGATTTAAAACTGTGCCTTGTTGCTTTCTGCAAGTACAGTGGGATAGGATGTTTTGATTCTTGACGTTTGGTCATGGCAAGTTCAGATGATGCAAAAAAAAAAAAAAGGAAGAATTTTAAAAACTTTATGGGAAATTTTGGAGAGCAAAATGAGAGGACAATTGCAAAACGCTTGGGTAGTTCAGAATAGCACCTGGAGAGAGAGTGTGTCAGTTAGTTACTAGCAGCAATGCTTGTCCAGGTGCTAGAAATGTGTGCTGGGATCTGAACACGAGGAATATTTTTCACCAGTATTTGCAGTGTGCTGTGGGCATTGGTCATGATTCTGTTGCTACTTAAAAGGCCACTTTGGTACTCCATGTGCCTCTGGGACAAGGATTACCATCATCTCTGTGTCAAAGCAGCATCTGTGTCTGCAGAGAGGCTCTGCCTTGTGTTTTCTAGTCACAGTCACATTTCATTAGATAACTTTTCAAGTCTCTTCTAGCACGTAATTGCACTGTGGGGAAGGTGGGAGGCTTTTGTTGTTAACGTGCTTGATGCTGTTGAGGCATGAGCAGTAGCTGCCCTAAAGCATTAATCAGATTCTTCCAAACTGCACCACAATGATGATGTCGTTAGTAGATAACTAGTGGCTGCTACTAATGATATAATTAAGAGTGGCAGAGCTTACGTGGTGGACCTGCAGGGCACCAGGAGGAAGGCGATGTTCGGCTGTCGAGCTGTGTTCCTCCAGCCGTGGCAGCTGATGGTGACAGACGCTGGAGGTAAGCGGAGGGCGGGCAGTGACGGGTGCGTTTGCTGCGCTCAGGTGAGCTTTGCCCCGTCCCCGGCCGGCCGGCGAGCGCGTCTCTCAAGGCACCTGGCGCCGGTGGGAGGGCACGGACACAGCGCCCGGGAGCGGGACGGGGGAAGGACCGCGGGCCCCGGCCCGGGGAGGACAGCGGGGACAGCGGCCCCGGCCCGGGGGGACAGCGGGGCCCGGGCGCTGCCGCCGCCGCCCGGGGGCGGGGCCTGGTCCGCGCGCTTCCGGGGCGGGGCCGCCGCCGCCGCCCGGGGTGTGGGTCCGGCCGGGATGGGGGAGGCCGGGCTGGGGCCGGGGCCCGGGCCCAGAGAGGCGCAGGAGCCCGAGGAGGACGAGGCGGCGGCGCCGGGCGGCGCACGAGGGGGCCGGGCCGGGCCCCGCGGCGGCATCCGGGTGCTGAAGGTGAGGAGGGGGCCGGGGCCTCCGGCGGAGTGGGGGGTAGTCGGCCGCGGGGCGCCGGGGGCGCTTCCCGCCGCGACCTTGGCGGGGCGGCCGGGCGGGGCCGGGGTCTCCCCGTGCCCGGCGCGGGGCTCCCGGCGGTGCGGCCTGTGCGGCGGGCCTGTGAGGCGGTGCTGACGCTCTCGGGTCTTGGCTGCCTTGCAGAGGAACGCGAAGCGCGCCGGCAGCAGGAGCTGCCTGAGCAGGAGCCGGGTTGGGTCCCGTGAGAGGGCCTGGCTGAAAGGGGACGTCGGACGGGGCTGCGTGTATGTTTATGGAAGAGACTCTGCAGCTGCGGCTCCCTCGGACTTGCGCCTGGTCCTGTGCACGGTGGACACCCCAGCGTCCGAGATCTGTAATGGAGAAGGGAGGAAAAACCTCTTTTTGCAGCTTCATGGAGACCTGGTCAGGTGAGGACTGAGAAAGGTTTAGTAAGGGTTTGCGGGGCTCTGTTCACTGTGTGCCTGCGCCTGTTGGCAGGGCAGGTAGGGAACAGGCAGAGGTGGCAGGTGGCAGCCAGGTACAGCCTTGAGTCATGCAATTCATAAAAATGAAGTAGTGGTTGCCCTTTACACAACTCTTAGTTAAGTGTTTTAGCTGGGAGGGTTTGGCTGGTGCTCTAGCCAGAACTATGTCCTCGTTTTCTAGATAGAGGCTCCTGTTCATATATCCCTTTGTTATGTTCTGTGTTATGGGCGTTTTAGTGTCCAGATAACCTGAGCTAATTAAGAGGCTGTAAACAGTTATTCCAAGTCAGCAAAACATGTAAGGTGCTTTCACAGTTTTGTTATGTAATATTTATGTATTAGTAGTTTTTTTACTAAGAAGAGTTGCCAGGTAAATAATTAAAGGCAGACAGAGAGTGTAGCAATGGTTATATAAAGAAGGCTTAAGCATCAGATTATATGTTTTATGCCTGAAGTTGATTTAGGCTGAAAATAGACAGCTTGGAGTTTAATGTGCATGAACTTTATGCTGTGGGTGTGTTACGGACTCCTAGTTTAGAAACTCCCATTCATTTTGTTAGGTTTTAGACTTTGCACTGATTCTTCTTGACTTAAGATTCAGTTATAAAATTGCCACCCCTGTTCTCAGGGACAGATAATTGTTGTGATGTCCTTATGTGAAGGCTATTTAGACCTATTTACCTTGTCCGGTCAGGGTTGTTGGAACCAGGGATGAATTATTTAGAAACAATGTATGAAGACAGATGGACACTTGAACATAGCCATCGAGGCAGCTGAAAACCTCTGTTTGTTGGTTGAAGAATTTGTAAAGAACTTGGCTTGTTTTGCACCCTAAGAATGAGCAGGTTTTCCAGCATTTGGAAGGAAGCACAGACCCGTTACTGCAGATCATGAAAAAGCTTAGGTAAAGCTTATAGATGTGTTCAGAGAGGCACTTTTTGACTTTTTTGGCTCTTGAAATGGCTTTTGTGTTCGAATTCTTTTCGGTCTCTGTTTTCACATGCTACCTAGCTGTGCCTGTCTTTGATCTGTGGCAGGATTTGCGCTGGATTAGCAAATTGGATCTGTTGCCATTGTTTTGAGAGTACTGAGCTATAAATTACTGCTTCCCACTCTTTTTACCACTTGATGTCTCTGTAGAACTTGGTCAAGATTTGTCATAAATTTTGTGAAGAGTTCTTCGTTAAGGGGTGTGTATTCCTTGTAATCCTCAGAATGTGTTTGCCACAGAAGATATCCTTGAATTACTTCTCACTGGGGCTGTTCTTGGTAGGAAAATGGGAGTTACCAGTATTGCTTCAGTAGCACCTGTGTTAGTAATAGGAAACAGGCCTGAATGGTACCTGCGTGCATGTCCACAGGAAGATGACAGAGTGCTAGAGATCCCCATGCTCTGTTGAGATAATTCCTTCCTTGAACAAAGCTTGCTGATTACTTTAATAATTTATTCACAAATACAATTACTCTATTAAGCATCTGATCGTATCTTACCGTAAGTGCGTGTGTCTCCCAAACAGCTTCTGAATTCTTCACCCTTTTAATGTCAGCGGATGACTTTCTTTCTGAAGCTGAGTGTGGCAAAGGTTGATTTGGCACCTGACTTGGAAGTCTGAAAGCTGGATGGGAGAATAGCAAAACCTTTTTTGTGTATTCACACTAAATATTCAGCAGCATCCTTGTGATCAGCCTTTGTTTCTGCTTCAATTTTGGGAATTCAAGTCAGTTTCTGTCAAAACTTTTTCTTCTCCACAATGCACCTCGAGGATCTTTAGCTTTCTGCTGGCTAGAATCTGTCCTTATGTTTGCATCCCTTCATATCCAGAAAACATACCTTCCTGCAGAGGGGAGATTAAACAAGAATAGCACAGATACATTCTTTGGTCTGGAAACCCTTCGCAACCAAAACTTTAACTGCAAAGATTTGAAAACTTGGCTGTTGCTTATGGAGAGCTACAGGTGCTACAAGAGTTGTGAAACTGTTGCTACTTCTTGTTGGCTTTTCTGTCTCCTAAACCTTTGCACCTGGGCTCAGCAGAGAGGCTCTGAGCAGTGGAAGTGTCCAGTCCCTGATGTGTGATAGTACTGTGGATGCCATGGGCTGTCTGTGCTGCTGTGACAGCTGGGTGTTCCTGTGTGTGTCAGCATTTAGAGTCAACTGCGCTGGGTACAGGATGAATGTGTACAGTTCTAATGTGATCTTGTGCCAGTTTGGGTTTCACACCACATTGCTTTCTCTCAAAAGGAAAACATTTTTCTATCTCAATTTGACTATTACTTCTAGAACCTGTCAGCCTTGATCAAGTTAGTGAAGAAATTCGGTACAGAAACTGCCATTCCATGTGGTTTTCCCTTTGCTGGCCTGCCCAAATATTTTTTAGCAAAACACATGGCTCTTGATGAGAATTTGGACCAGTAATCCATTCCGCCAGGTCTCCAGAATGTCTCCAAAAGCATTCAGTGACCTGCTCCCTTTCCCAGTGTGAGCATGGTCTGTAGGCAATGAGCTCTTTTGTTCATGGCTTTATTTCCAGAGCCTTGTGTGGGACCTGTGTGTGTCATCAGCAGGACACCTGGGCTGGTCACAGGTCCAGCACGCGGCCAGTGCCAGCAGGGAGTCAAACACCCTTCCCACTGTGTCTGAAACATCCAACCCCAAGCAGAGTGGCCGGTCATTGCCTCCTGCCACTTTTTGGGTTGAGATTTTTCTGTAAACTCAAAACTCTCTTGCCAGGTAGTGAGCTTTGAACAACTTGTGGTGTTTTACAGACAGCTTGCAGAATTCAGAAGACTTAACTTTTTGGCAAGGCTTTTGTCCTGCAACCATTGACCAGCAAGCCTGGTTGGTGCAATAGCAGAGGCTGCTCTTTTGGTTGGTTTTCAGACAGGAATGAGTGGTATGGCATGAGAGGTGAATTTGTAGGGGATTGCTGACAATGTTCCTTTTGTACATGGCTTTCATAAAAAAGAAATAAAACTAAGGGCATTGTGTTTGTCTTCAAAGAGCATATCAGTGTGATTTATGTGGACAAGAAAGAAAATTAAGGGGTTTTCAAATTAGCATTTTGCAACTTTGCAGCATTAATTCTAAGATGAGAAGAATAAAAAATAAAAAAAGCAGATCTCATCTCCAGAAGGGGCAAGTGTGATGGGATAGAGTATCCAGCTTTTTCAGGAGGATGAGCCACAGTACCTCAGGTGAGCATTTAGCAACCTGTACAACTGTGACTTAATTTGTGTTGTATGAAAAGCACTTTTCCCTCCACTGCATTACTGTTCTTCCTGAATTCTGATATGCAGATATATTGTTCAGTGTGTACTCACAAAAGCCTCGGTCCATTTAGTGACCAAATAGTAAAGTTTGAGTGTTTGTTTGTTTTTTTTCCCTGGGAAGTCTAGATGCAGACTACTCAAAGTGTTCTTTTTGTGAGTGACACTCAAGCATTTATCGTTCCTGAGCCACAGGTCACATGCTGGAAAAGCTGTTTTCTGGCAAGCATAAGGCTTTAATAGCAGAAGAATAGGAATCTAGGGGTAGCCAAGGGAAACTTGGGCAAGGTATTTGGAGATCCAGTCAAATCTCTCCTATTCTTCTTGTATTCTGTGCAGAAGAGTATAGAATACATTGGGTACACTGTACTGGAAGGCAGCAGTGTTTGGTGCAATCTATTATTTTTTCCAGTTTCTTGCCTGTTAAAGGAGACAGATACATAGGTTTGTCATTTCCAAGATTACCTCAGAAAGCTCTTTTGAAAGTTTGCTGTTGTGTTCACTGCTGTTTCTGTAGCAAAAAAAAAAAATTAAGTGATAACATAAACCTCGGTTACATATTTGTAGATGTGCTTGGCTCTGAGCTTGTAAATTTTGACAGACAGCTCTAAAGAAGGCTGAGAGCCTGAAATCTCAGCAAAGAAAAAAAGAATTGATGGCATTACGCTCTTTTGAACCAATCTCTTGTCCTACATCCAGGGAAAGAAACAACATTTAATACATCACCTTTTCATACTGATTGTACAAGAACTCCATCTTAGCTGACATCAGCTTATTAGTGAATTGAAGCTCCAAGAGACAATTTCTGAAGTGAGAGGAAGGGGGTTATTTCACATACAGCCTTCTGGCTAGTAAGTAGATGTATTTCTGTGTAAAACAAAAGTAGGGAGCAAAGTTGCCCTAAGCAGGCTTAGCAAGCATTGAGCAGTAAGAACTGGTTTTCTGGGTCAGTTGCATATCAACTACATTGCCTTTTCAGGCTAGAAACTTTGTTATTTTGCACCAGAACTTTGAGAATGATCCAGAGGTTCTGTGTGTGAAGTGAAAGAGTTGCAATGTATCTCCTTGAAATACCTGAGGTCATTTTACATCTTCTTGAGATGCGTCCTGGTGACTACAAAGGAAGCCTGGAGGACTAGGTACATGTAAATGGTGCATGTTTTATGAAATTTGTCCTGCCTTAATTATGAGATGACATTTGTAAAGCTATCAGTAATAGTGTAAATATTCTGATAGAGTCATTAAAAAGAATCAGAAATATTTTTGTTCTTGAAAAGAGGTGAGAGGAAGCGGAAAGCAATAAAATATTTCTCGTTCAGACACGCAATATAAACAATGTTATGCAAGTCAACAAAGTTTAGTGGAAAACAGGTCCTACCAAACAAGCTTGATCTTGATGCTTTGAAATTTCAAGCTCAGTTGCCAAAGGCATTAGTCATTTGTTGCAGTGAGATGTTGGACAGGGCTCTGAGCAACCTGGTCGAGTTGAAGATGTCCCTGTCCATGGTGGGAGGTTGGAGTAGATGACCTTTAAATGTCCCTTCCAACCCAAAGTGTCCTGAGATTCTGTGTTCTGATGTCGTGGGGAGAAAAGCAGTGTACAAACCAGTAAAACTCATTGACTGATACCTTACAAACTGGAAACTGTTATTCAGTGTAAGCATCCTGGTTTGGATGAGGAGTTAATGTGCGTTTGAAAGAAGAAAGATAAATTTGCACTGTTCGGTTGTTCTGTTAATAACTTGTGGCTGAAAAAAAGGTCATGCTCAGGAGGGCATGGATGGAGGGAGTGATAGGTACTGAGAAGTCAGTGCAGCAGGCTGATGTAAATGGTTTAGCATGGAGTATTCCCTGGAAAACACTGGGTTTATTTATGTAAAAGAGAAGTGTACTAAATTCTGCAGAGGAGAGGAAGGATGCTGTAACTTGCCAAACCTGTGGCTCAGGAGGACTCGTGGATTGAAGGGATATGAGTGAATGTGCCAAACAGTCGAGAGTAGGTTTGATCCAGGATTATAAAAGATGTTGAGCAGAACCAATACCTCTCTGCAGTGCGTGGATACAGGGACCAGTCCTACTGGTGCTGACAGAGTGGGGATAAACTAAAAACAATTGGGTGGTAAAAATCCTTTTTAATCAAAGTAGAACCACCCTACTGCAAGAAAAATTTTAAAAGCACATTGAGCCTCATCTTGAAGAGGAAGTTTGAATGGTTAATGACATGATTTATAAATGTCTGCTTAAAGAATAGGTGACAGTTGAGGTCCAGTGACTGTAATCTGAAGCTAGGCACTTTCAGATTAAAAATGGAGATTTTTAATGGTGGATAATGAATTGACCATTATAACAGTTTATTTTAATTACTATCTAATGTTTTCAGTGCTTAATCTTTTACACTGGTATTTTTTTCCCTAAAGTAAAACTTCTAATTTAGTGAGAAACTCAGTTGTTTTTATTGCAGAAAATAACAATTCAGGTTCTCTGGAAGAAGTGAGAAGAGAGGATCAGAAAACATCTTTTCTGTTCTGAATATACTAAACCTGATGGTTCAGGAGAACTTTTCTTATTGACATTTATTCAAGTTAGTCACTGAATCCTTCCTGCAATCTTCTGTAGTCCTAAAAAGTCCTTTTTAAAGGACTTTAACTGGTTGAGTTAATTTTCCAAAACATGAGACTCTTGCACTGGTGAGAGCTGAAGAGAGTAGGAAATTTCTTTTTTCTTTCTTTTTAGAACTTATTCTTCAGGAGGATTCTTCATATGCTTTGTTCCCAGCTGCGTTTGGAAGAAAAATTTAAGAGTTCTTTTATATCTTTGAGTCATTGTACGTAGGGGTTTTTAATTATTTGGCATCTGCTTTTTGCACAGTATTTCTGGTTTTGTGCCTTGTTGTTGTTTCCTCGTGGTGCTCCTTAAATCATGGAATGGAAATGCTCACCATGGATTGTGTGGCTTATGCCTATTGCTTTTCCTCTCTGTTTCTCTTCTGCAATGTAATCACAAGTGCTATAGTTCTTAAGTGCTGCTTGCCAAGCAGGGAGCACAGCCCCAAGGGTGCATGCTTGCAAGACCTTTTCAGAGGAGCAGAACAGCCAGTGTCACTATTCCTCACACCTTTGCTGCATCGAGACTTGTTTAATCTTTTTTTGTGTTCTCAAACTATTTTCTCGTATGTTTTGACAGGAGGCTGGAACCCACAGAAAAACCCCTTCAGATTGTGTATGACTACTTGGCTGGATTGGGTTTTGATGATCCTCTCAGAATGCAGGAAGAGGCAGCAAATTCTGATCTCAGCTGTATGATTCGCTTTTACAGTGGTAAGAAATTGTGTGTGTGCACACGGTCACTGTTCTGTAGCTGTAACTGTGAGCTGGAACTCAGCTGAAGCCTTAGTCATCGGCCTGCTGCCTTTATAGAGGGCTGCATCAAACACCCAAAGTACCAGTAAGCATTTCTTAAAATAAAACATTTTCAAGATTAATAGAAGAAACTCACAGTTCTGTAGTTCTTTTGTTTCTGTCTGTGACTTGATATGAAGACAGGTCCATGGGATTGCTCTGTTGTCTTTAATTTCTGGTGTTGCAGCTGATGGTTTGTAGCTCCCAGTGGGATCAGAAACATATTGCAGTTTGGTCTAGATGTGCCTGGAGATTATATTTACAAAAAATGTGTAGAAATGGGCAAGGAAGGTCCTGGTCAAATACCTCCACAGCCTGTAACTAGAGAGCAAAGGTACCAGCTGGTTAATAATAATGCAGGCTGCCATCAGGAACCCAGGGCATTGGATTGCAGAAGCCAGACTTGGGAAATTGGCTGCTGAATCGGTTTGGTCAGGACACAGCGTGCTCAAGGAGCCACAGAATGACAGTCAGAGGCCTGTGGTCTATGGTGCTAGCAGTCAGAAAGGGAATTCACTGAAGTTAAGATGAAATATAAAAGGAATAAGGGAGAGGAAAGCTAATAAAGGAATTATTTCCTTACTTTTAAATACTTCACTTGTGTATTTTTTTGCATTTCATAAAAAAAAATCAAAGTGCTTTTAATGGAAAATTGTTCTTGCTTCATGGATCTGGGCAGCCAGACTAAGCTGCTAGCCATCATTTGTTTGTTCGGTGTCAAAAAATGCATTCATGAGAAATCAGCTTCCTCACTCTGTTATCTGAGACAAACCCTTTTGGTCTGGGAGCTGTGTGCAGAACAGGCAAAACAGTGTATATGCTGTATGTATGCAAATATAGATATATATATATATACACAAAACAGTATAACAGATGGAAAGAAGTATGATGAGTAGTCTGAATTTAGAGGGCAAGGAAGAGGGAATCAGAAGTTACTTCAGCTGGAAGGAGACAAGGCATAAAGCATAGGGTTATGGAGAGCTTTTGAAGAAAAAATGAGCAATTTATTTTGGCTATGTCAGGCAGGAACTGCTGAGGATTCAGGAGCAGTGACTCAACTTCATGGAAGCAAGTAGGTAGAAAATGAAATTGAGTAGTTTCAGTCAGTGTGGGAGGCTGCTCCTGCTTAGAAAGAGGCTGTGAAGGAAGAAATATAAGGGTTGAAGAGTATTCAGGAGACCTGTTTTAAGAAAGTGAAAGCAAATGCTGACAAAGTGATTCTCAAAGTTAGTGGAGGAATTAGCGGGAAAGCTATGGAGGATGATACAATAATTTTGCAAAGCCTACAGCTGAAAACATAAGGGAGGAAGTATGGATTTTCCCCAGAGAAACACTACTTAGAATCATGGCATCACAGACTGGGTTGAGTTGGAAGGAATCTTAAAGATCACCCAGTTCCACCCCCTGCCGTGGGTAGGGACACCTTCCACTATCCCAGGTTGCTCCAAGTTCGGTCGAGTCTGGCCTTGAACACTTCCAGGGATGGGACATCCACAGAGTCTCTGGGCACCTGTGCCAGGGCCTCACCAACCTCACTGTAAAACATTTCTTCCTTATGTCTAATCTAAATCTGCCCTCTTTCAGGTTAGAACTGGTGCCCCTTGTTCTGTCACTACAGGCCTTGGTAAAAAGTCTTCCTATGCTTTTCTTGTTTCTTTCTTCCCAGAGCTTTCCCTTCTCTGGGCTGAACAACCTCAGCTTTCTCATAGGAGTCTGTCTCCATATGAGAGGTGCTCCAGCCACCTGACTGTTTCCATGGCCTCCCCTGGCCCTGCTCTAGGACATAGGTGTCATGGTTTTGGAGCAGATAGGGAAACCAGAGGATTGGTGTAGCTGTTTAGTAATGCTTGGAACAGTGCTGCTGTAGCAGTCAGTAGGACACCACTTGTGGTCCCATAATCCTGTTTTCTTACAAGTCTGGGGCTAATCTTTCAGCTTGGTGAAATCAAAGCAATTTTTTCTGTGGATGCTTACAGTTTCTCACTAATAAAGGACATCTGCCAAACTTCGTGTCCCTGAAACGAAACAAACTGTTGCAAATAAACAACTAAATGTTTCAGCCAGGTATGGGCATCAAGACAACGCTTTAGATTTGGCAAGCTGAAGATCTGCTGTCTAACTGAGAAACAGTATAACAGCTTTAGTTGATAGTTAACTTTTTGCTCCTAATAAATGTTTGGAGTATGGTTTGTGTCTGGAAGTGGGGCGTGTATAACCAACAGTGAGAATATTTTTCCAGCCCATCTAATGAGATTTTTTTATCATTGTCTGACATGTGTTGGCTACTCAGTTCCTCTATCTGACTTTAGGGGAAGAGAATACTGGAATATGAATCCCTGCAGCTTCATGCTGCTTCTGGATATCAGGACACTTGTAGGACAGTTCAAGAGATAAGCAGCGTGTCAGCAGCAACTTCTAAAAGAAAAAGTATCCTTTCCAAAGTAAAACAAAGTATCAGTTGCCAGCATCTGTCTTGGGGATTATTTAGGATAAAATGAATAAAAATTTTATATGAGGAGATTCTTAACTCTTCAAACTCATTGCTCTGTCAGGTCAGGCTTATTCCTATTCTTTAAAGTGTTCAATTAAGTGACTATTTGGAAAATATTCCTAATCAGTAAGAGAGCATAAACAGTGGACAGAATCTTGAAAAGCATCTGAGAGACATTAAAAGGTCCTTGGCTTGGGGTAGGCACTGCTCAGCAACAGTGATCAAGGCATATTGCTTCTCACTTTCTGGTCCTTAATACAGTGGGGCCTCTTCAGCATGTGTCACCTCCTCCTGTGGGGACATTTGGAAATCTTTGCCTTCTGGCCAGTCCATGATCACTTCCAAGATTCCTGGATGACTGAGGTTCCCTATTTGAGCTTGTTGTATGATCCATGTGACCCGCTTACTCCATGTAGCATCATTTGCATGATGCACAGAGGAGACCCTCCTTTTGAACATCCAGCCCAACACCCCAGCGAGGTGCCAGGAGCAGCTGGGCCTCAGTGCCAGTCACTTCCAAAGCAGCTCAAAGCCCTTCATATGCTGCCAGTATCTCTTTTTCAGTTAGAGTATAGTGGGCTTCAAATCCTCTGTCCCTGACTCCAGAAGCTGAAGGATTGAGCTTGAGTGTCTCTGATGCTTTGTGCCAGAGGCTCCAGGTAGGGCCATTCTTCCCATCTGCACTGTAAAGCTCATGTTTTACATCTTGTCCTGTTTGGACTGGCCCAAGGCTGCATGAACAAATGGCCCAAGGGCTACTGCTTGAACAGTCTCCTGCTTGATGTGTTCAAAGGCTTGTTGTTGCTTAGGGCCCCATTTGAAATCATTCTTCTTCCAGGTCACTTGATGGAGAGAGCTGACAATCAGACTGTAATCTGGAATATACATTCTCCAAAATCCCACAATGCCTAAAAAAGCGTGTGTTTCTTGCTTGTTAGTTGGTGGAGCCATTGTTATTATCTTGTTAATCATATCCACTGCAATCTGATGACATCTATCTTGCCATTTTATTCCTAAAAAAATGGATCTTCTGTGCAGGTCCACTGACCTTTGTTTTATAGCAAAACCAACTTTCAGAAGCATTTGGACTATTTTTTCCCTTTCTCAAAAACCTCTTCTGCTGTGTTACCCCATGTGATGATATCAGCTGTGTATTGCAGGTGTTCCGGAGCTTCCCCCTGTTCCAGTGCAGTCAGGATCAGGCCATGGCAGGTGGTGGGGCTGTATTTCCACCCCTGGGGCAGTTGATGCCAGGTGTACTGGACATCCCTCCAAGTGAAAGCGAACTGCACTCTGCTGTCAAAGGGGTGGAGAAGAATGCATTAGTAATATCAGCTGTGACACTGCTGGGCTGCCTTTGGCTCCACTTCCTTTTGGAGTTCCAGCATGTCCATTCCAGCACTCAGCAGCAGCCTCCAGTCAGATCTGAGCAGCCACAGTGCTTGTCATGGCTTAGAGTAGCTGCAAATAGTTGCTTCACTCTAAAAAAGACATGAACCACATTCATGGTTCCTAGCAGTAGGACCACAATGGTTTCAACTTCCCAAGGATATTCAAAATTCCCAAAGGCTGTTGTAATTAGCCTGGTAGAGAAAAGGAGGATATGGGAAGTGTCTGCTTCCTAGGCAGGCTCTCCAAGAAGAAAAGGCAGACTGTCATTGTTGGTGTTTTCCACTATATGGCACCAGAGCACAAGAGATGAGGGCTGTGCTGAGCACACAGACCAGATGACAAGGTACAACACGATAACCTTAACCCAGCCCTTACAGCAGGTAAGGTGGTACGTAAGTGCAACAAAACAGAGCAAATAAATCAACATTGTGACCAGCCACTATTAAACCAGTACAATAAATGCTTATAGCAAATTTGTTTTAGCACAGTCTGGTCAGATCTGTCTGTCCCACCGTTTGTGCCCCACATGTGGCACAAAAAAGGACTGTTGTGGTTTAACACCAGGTGGCCACTAAGCACCACGCATCTGCTCACCCCACACACTGCTTCCTCCATGGGATGGGAAGGAGAATTGGAAAAAGGTAAAACCTGTGGGCTGGGAACAGTTTAATAATTGAAATAAAGTAATATAATAACAATAATTGTAATGAAAAGGGAAATAACAGAGAGGAATAAAACACAAGTGATGCACAATACAATTGCTCATCACACACTGACCACTGCCCCTCCCTGAGCAGTGATGGGCCCTTCTGGCCCCCTTCTTCCAGTTTGTACAAGTGGGCATGATCTTCTATGGTGTGGAATACCACTTTTGACAGTTTGGATCAGCTGTCCCAGCCGTGCTTCCTTCCATCTTCTTGTGCACCTGCTCGCTGCAGAGAATGGGACACTGAAAAGTCCTTGACTTGGGGTGAGCACTGCTGAGCAACAACCCAAACAGCAGGGTGTTATCAACATTATTCTCACATGGAATCCAGAACACAGCCCTCCACCGTCTGCTAGGAAGAAAATGAATTGTATCCCAGGCAAAACCACAACAGTCATCCTCAGGGAAAGAACTTCCTTCTGTAGCTGATTTTCCAGGCCTTCCCTGAAAGTCCAGTAGAAGCCACTTATTTGATGATTTCTGTGACTTTAGCTGATTTAACAAGAGTTTGAAAGTGCTTTTCTGTTGCATCTGAATAAAGGATATTTGTCAGGCACATAGGTTTGCTAAGGTCTGTAATTATCTGTAGATTAAAAACACGCTGCATGGCAGCCATTCTAACATTGCTTGGGAGGCACATGATGTTGCTGATGCTCAGCTGAGGAAGTTGCTTGTTCTTTGCATGAGGCTTTTTTTTTTTAAAGTGTAACTTGTCTACCTGTTCTTTACAACACCTGGTTTTGCATGTCAAATCTGTGTCGTTATTTGTACACTCAGACGAAAACGAAGAATGTATGGAAAGTAAATGCTAATGACCCCTTTTTCTTCAGAAAAGCCGTGTCAGGTGGAACAGCTGGATCGCATTCTCCTCTCTGGAGTCTATAACGTCCGCAAAGGAAAGACCCAGCTGCACAAGTGGGCAGAGCGCTCAGTCACTCTCTGTGGCACGTGCCTCATTGTGTCCTCGGTGAAGGACAGCCATGCAGGGAAGATGCACATCTTGCCTCTCATTGGAGGGAAGGTAAGGCTTTTTTTTGGTTAGCTCCCTGTAGCTTGGGAAGGAAGAAGGGATTGTAATGATGGGAATCGTCCACAAGAGGCTAATGTAGGCTTTTGTAACAGTGTTAACACACACAGCCCTTTTCTGCTTGCTTTGCTTAAGTAGTAGTCTGAAGGCTACTAAAATGAAGAGACGCTACTTCTGCTTTCACATTACTAGCTAACGTTGTGAATGGACACCCTGGAAATTATTACTTCTTGGATCTACATCAGAAAGGTGTTAAGCAGGATTTACTTCTGAGTTTTCCTCCAGTGACTTTACAGCTGTGTTTTCAGCAAAATGCAATATTACTAGTGGCCATTAATACCTCACCCTAGACTCCAGGTCGGTTGTAGCTGCTGGAGCTTAGGCAGACTGTTGTCAATTCTCTCTTTGCAGGTGGAAGAGATGAAACGTCGGCAGTACACCCTTGCTTTCACCTCGGCTGGAGCACAGGCTCAAACGTACCACGTTTCCTTTGACTCACTGGCAGAGTGCCAGCGGTGGCACCGGAGGGCATCCACGGTGAGGCCCTGGGGACGCTGTGCTTCGGGCAGTGGGTGGAGGGATAGGAAGGGTTTTTGGATGCAGGCTTGGTCTGCAGGCAGAGGAGAAGCTAGGATGTTGGGGAAAGTACCTAGGACACTTTCCAGCTTTCTTTATTTCCTTTATGCTCTGGACTACAGAGATTTTTCTTTTAGCCTTTTCTTCTCTTCTACCTGTGCAACAACGTCCAGCAGTAGTTCTGTGTTGTTTTAACCCCTGCTGCACCTGTGAGAGTAACTTGATGACAGGTCACTAGAGCAAACCCCAGGGAATGACTGACTTTACAACCACAGAAACCTCCAAATTGCACTTGTTGCCATACTTGAACCTGCCTGAAGTGCGAGCTGGGCATTCACAGGGTTGCCCTGGTAGATTTGAGTCACAGAGATCATAGGTCAGTGGGGGACATGTGCATCGGAACACACTGACCTGCTTTATTTCACATTAGAGTGCAATTAGATGGTGATAGCTTAATGCTGAACCACACTTTGGCCTCATAGATATGGTTGTGTATATAACCCATGTATAAATGGGTGTGTATATATTTTGTAAAATATCTATAAATGATCTATGAAATAAGGTCAGATTAAAGCAGGTCATAAAATGTCAAGTGAAGTATCAAAGACCTTGAAATAAAACATACTTAATGAAAGGAGATCCGGTATTTGCAAAGACTTTATGAAGTATTGCAAAACCATAACTTATTAAGGCTTTTCATAACAGGTTGTTTCAAATTTTATACCCTTAACAAACTAACAAAAAAAAAGTAGATAGAAGTACAGAAGAAGCAGCCAGGCAGAGGTTCTGTAAACCTCAAAGAACTGAACTGGAAAATCAACTGCTTCCTGTTGCTACTTGCACCTTTGGAAGGCACTTGGAGATCATCCTTTCTCAAGAGTTTCCTCAGCCCAAGATCTGTTTTTCTCCATTAGGTTGACTTTAGGCAGTGCGCTGTGCACATACAGAGAAGGGCTTTGTGTGAGTCCAGGTTGGTATCCGTGTCAGGGTGTAGCAAATGGCATAGATTCATACTCCATGGACTCTACTTGATGGATACAAGGAGTTATTTCATGTTCTTGCAAATTATTTGCTACTTTCACCTTTGCATTCTTTGGCCTTCCATTAGACTTCCAGAGAAAAATCATTGCACAGCTGCAGCTCTTTCTCCTCCTTTTCAGGTTGTGTCTATGCGACTTAGCATGGTTGATCTTTCATGCTACAGCCTTGAGGAACTACCTGAACACCTCTTCTACAGTCAAGATATCACCTACCTCAACCTACGACACAATTTTATGAGATCAAGTGGAGCAGGGAGTCTCGACTCTCTTTGCAGGTCTGCAAAGAATTATTTTTCTTCTACATTTGCCAGTTCTCTTGGGATTGATAAAAAGAGTGATCTTCAGGAAGCTCTAACAAGTGAGGGGTTTGGAAGCAGAACTGGACAGCACAGGCAGGCATAAACTCCCAACAACTTAGAGTATTCATGAGCTCCCTTCCACAGATTCTGTGCTAATTCTGATCTGAGATGAGCATTGTGGGGTGATGTGCCACTTATATGGATGTGATACAATAGTAATATAAGACTGCTTGCTTAAACAGAGAACATCTTGGGGTATAAAATAAAAGGTGAGGGAAAGCATAATGCTGCTATTGTGAGTAAATAAGTTTGTAAGAAGAAATTCAGATCTGAAAAAAAAATATTTTGGCAAGTTCTTAATGTGCATTTGGAATTGGCAGAGGGCCTATGAGACTCCAGTTTTGCTTTGGAAACTTTGATCTACTTTTAAGAGAGTAGCAGTTGTGTGATGGTATGGAAGCATGATGTAGTCATCTTAGGTAAGCCAAGGTGTCTTACAAAAATATTTTTAAATTAATTCTCAAAACCCATAAAAATCTAGAGGAAGATTAGTCTGTTGATATCTATACTAGCCATGCTAAGTAGGATTCAAGGAGTTGCTTTATGGATTTCAAAAGCCAGTAGGAAGCCTGTAGTAATATTGTCCAATGGCTCTGTTTGGAACACATTGTGCCTTAAGAAAAATGCATTTGAAGAAACTTTGCAAAACTGCTTAGGGTTTTTTTTGTTGTTGTTTTGGGGTTTTGAGGTTTGCTTTTTTGCAGGGGTGGGGGCAGAGCAGGAGCGGTGGGTGGTGGGTTTGTTTTGTTTGTCTCTAGGGGCCTATTAGTGTGTTATTTCATTTTTCTTCTTTCACAGTCATGAGATACCCAGGTATCCATGGGGGTATAAAGGGAAAAAAATTACTCACCTGTGGGAATACTTTGCAGTTTCATTGAGAGCCGAATCTAGTCTGGTTTTAATTCCAAACTTGTTTAAATGTTTTCTAACTGTTGAATTGTAGTAGATTTTGTTATTGGAAAAGCTGCTTAAAATAATTTAAGATTTTGCTTTCTACTTCTCTCTTCAATTACATTGTATGATGATGTAAACCGTACCAAAACTTTATTTTCTAAAATGCGGTATCCTTGGTTCACAGGATCAGCAAAGGGGCTTGAAATTTCTTTTGACCTTGCATGTAGTCAACAAGAAATCTGACATGTCAGAAACTCGACTCTTTTCCTGGCAGTGACTATGTCTGATGAAGCTGAAATCCTCAAACAAACAAAAGCCATAAAAGAAGCCCTCACTTCACACAATCTTGAATAAACAGGTAGCATTAGGTAGCCCACATAAGGCTGCTCATTGCCTTTTGAAAAGGTTTTCTTTCTGAGGTTTTTAGGATGTTTCTCAGGTCACAGCCCCACAAAAAGACCTTTGCTCACTTGCAGTATGTGCCACCAGTGCCTTGAGACTGTCAATTCCCAACAGCAGAATTTTTTGCAATAGTCAGATCTCTTCCTCTCGGGAACTCTTTAAAGCTCTAGGAGTCTGATTAGCTATAACTACAGTAATGGAACAAAAAGAATTAACTGAAGGGAAAATGTTAAGCAAAGGGCATTAAATAACCCTACATGTTTTATGTCCTAGCTCACTTTTAACAAAACAAACTGCCTTTCAAGTATCTCCCTTTTCTGAAAAACACTCAGATCTGATCTTCACTGATGTGTGTACACACGTTATGTGTGCATGTCTCTTATCAGCATTTTAGCCAGCAGATACAGAGTTGTGCTGGGGTGCTTTGCTGGCAGAACAGGTTATTGTGTTAAACAGGGAATATTTCAGGGCAGCACCAGTTTGGGCTGCTGAGCAGAGGATGGTCATCCCATGGAAGATTCATTACTGTTTCCACACCTCTTTGCTGTTGTGTCGGTATGCCTGTGAGAGCACAGACCAAAACTTCAGGACCCACAATGATTTCAGGATCTTTATTCCCTGTAATACCTGGTTCATGTATACAGCTTGAATAACAGTTGTGTTTGCACTCCATTCCTACATCCCTACATGAGCTTATTGGGGCAAAGGAGAAGGAACAGAAGGAGAACTCAAAGCTTTTGAGTATTGTTCTCCCCATTGAGTATGGAAGGCTGCTCAAGGAATCTCAGACCAAGCTGTGTCATCTACCAGTTTCCCTTCATCTTTTGGAAACTTTAATGCCCCTTTTCTGTCTGCTTTGATATTGTTGCAGAGGGATGAACTCTAAACATTGGTTGTGCTGTTGTGTGTAGTGCTGTGTCTCTTGGGGCAGCTTCTCACCACACTTTGCTAATGAGAGAGAAATGCTGCTTGGTGTTAAGGAGAGGTGCTGTAGCCATTGCAGAACTCCAGAGAAAGCAATTTCATTAAAATGTTTGCTGATTTCAGAACCTGAGAGCTGTGACCTGTCCTAAATCTCTTCAAGTTGAACCAACTAATAAGAAAGTTCAAATCTTTAGGTTTATCCTCGTTGTTTTATTCTTCTTCAATATTGTGCTGAAGTTCCATGTGCAAGTTTCTGGTTTTTGTATCCTTGTTAGATCTTTGCATTATGCAGTGTGTTCCCTTGAGGAAGGCTTTTACCAACACAACATCTTTCTGTTTGGCATTCAGTTGCAGTACAAGAGAGTCTGTGGCTGCAGCAAAAATGGAATGCCAGTGCCTTATTTATATGACAGGATACTCAAAGCAAACAACCCATGTCCAAGTTTCAGCTATGCTCCCTCTTTCAAAAGAACAACCACCCCCCCAAGATTACGAAGCAAAGTGGAGAAATATAATGCATAATTCCTACACAGATCATTCCAAGTATTTTGAGTCTGATGAAGGGTCACTATAAAAAATAAAAATACCTCAGAATCTTTCAGTCTTATATTTTAAAACATCTCAAGCTAGAAGCAATATTCTCCCTCAAGCTCATTAACCTTAGTTTTGTTAACTATATTAAAACTTTTGCTTCAAAATAAGAGCTACTCACCAATGCCTGGCAAAAACTCAGGTGGGGCAGATGAATGAACTTTTGTTTCCAAGAAGTAGTTCTATGGTACATGAAATTTGTAGTTACTTCATAAAAGTCAGATATTAATTTCCCCACTGAATAATTTCTGGTGATTCCAATTTGGGATGAGGAGGTTATTACGTGGGGAAAAATACTTTTGTTTCCTGTAGAAAGAGGCAGGAACTCTTGGAGAAGAATCTCCTCTATGTTACCCCAGCCCATGCGAATTCCTTCTCTCTCTTTGGACCTTGCCCAGTGATGGAAGGGGATGGAACAGGCAATCATTTGTTAAGCACAGGTGGGACTGTAGTGACCATGGGGCTGTGTCAGCACTTGGGGCCTGGAGTAGTGTGCTGAGTGAGGGGCACTGTAGACATGGAATCCTGTTCAAGCACCTCTGGGTGCAGGTCTTGAGGCTTCCCGGCATGAAGTGAGCACTTTCCTAGTTTTCCCTTTCACAGCTCTGCTCAGCTTTCTGTTGTGCTCAGCTTGAAAAGGGGTTCCCCTTTTCTGTTTTGTTCTCAGAATAGTCACAGTGAATGTTTTCAGCTCCTCTTTTCCCGAGAAACATAATTGTAGACTTTTAGTCTAGTTAATTCTTTGAAGTTTATTTTTTTGAACTGAGTATTTTAGTCTTCTTAATCTTAGTCACTAGGAGGAAGCCTGTCAAATCAGGGTAGGAGGTCATTATCAGTTTCTTCAGTAAAACCATGGTATTTGATCGCTTTCAGCATGACCACTGTGAAAAATATCAGTGACTTAAAATTAAATTTGTGCAGGAACTACTATAACAAGTTAGCTGATTGTATCACCAATGTACAAAGACTTAAGAATTCTTTATGACTGGTTTTGTATGTTCTTGTTTTGAGGCCTTTTAGGTTTATGAATTAACTAGCGTTCTTGCCAATAGGTTTTCTCAGTTGAAGAATCTGAACCTGTCCAATAATAGACTGGGAGAGTTTCCTGTATCACTGTGTGAGATCTCTACTCTGACAGAGCTTAATATTTCCTGTAATGGACTTCATTACCTGCCAAGTGAGATTGGCAAACTGTTGAAGTGAGTATGTTCTTTTCACCTGTGATCATAACCAGCCTTGGTGCCTCAGCTGAGCACTGCTGACATGCAGGTACTGCTTCTGGAAGTGTGAGTGTAGGGCAGCCTGTTCTGCATATGAAGGCTGAATGATTGATTTGACTCCAGCAGAAGGTCAAGAACCAAGATGTGCAATCCCTTAATCACTATTGTTAAAATGTTAAGGTTGCTGGTGTAGAAAAGATGAGGAAACTTGATGCAGCTGAGGCATTGAAAGCAATTGTGTTGTTTCTCAGATGGGTCAATGCGCATTCCTCTGCAGCTGCAGAGTTGTGTGACTTTTTGAATTTATTATTTGTATTAATATTTTCAGTACTGATGGAATTTCTATTGAAGTTTTAATTTGTTACAGAAAACTTTTCTGTGGTAACTTCTCACAGGGGTCTAGTGATTTTTTTTGTCAGCACTGGGTATGTTTTGATAGTGTTCTGCAGAGTTGGCTGCTTTTTGTGTTAGAGGATTTTAACATGGAAATATTGGGACAATCCCATCTGAAGATTTTGTCATAAGGTGTTTGCTGGAATAAAAGCCTTGTCCATTTTCCCCTTTAGCTACCCCAAATGTATAAAAACTTAAGCTTAGGTAAATTTAATTGCAGGACTATTATTACATTTGTTTAGATACACATCAATGTCATGCTTTTGGTTCATTGTGACCTGCTTTTCCTCCAGCTTGTGTTTTTAAAAAAGGAGTGTCTGAAGCCACACTGGATGTGAGCAAGTAATTTCCAGTGTGATCTTTTAGCCATATGCAAACTGTGAGGAAAAAGCTGTGTGTAGGCTTACACTTTAGGGAGGTTTACAGCTTAGTTATGGGTCCAGTTATCTTGATGACTCCTTGAGCCCTTATTCATAAGAACATTTTGTGGCCTCAGATTGCACTTCTACCACCACTAAACACTGGTCAGGAAGTTCTCTGTTGGAACATAATCATAGTAAGAGAAATTGTATATTTGGGATCTGAGTCTCAAAAGCCATGCAAACTTTGAAACAATTCATCTTACAACAGAAAGCCTTCCTATTCTTTTCCCAGTGTTGGAACAGACAACTAGAGTGTTAAAATCTGCTACCAATGTGTTATTGTGGTAGATATTGTGATTAAACTGCACCATTTTTAGAAAACCAAGTAATTAAGTAAATAACTTTCATTTACAACGTAAGTACTGATTTGTATTTTGCTTGTGTTAACTTACAGTCTTTGGCACAACTGGAAGTTTACCTTCAAAATAATTTAAGAACTATTTGGTATTGCATATATGCAGTTCCAAGCTTATTACATGTGTGATAAAAGTGCTTTAGTAACTTTGTGTGTACAAGAATAAAATTAGCTGTTAGGTATCTTTGAAAAATAGCCACACTGAGACCAGCTAGCTACATGAGGAAATGCACTGAAAATACTAAATGCGAGGTTCACTACTCTTTGTGGAATTATTTTCTCTTTTTCACTGCTGCAGTCTCCAGACCTTCTGGCTTGATGGCAATTTCCTCATGTCCTTACCAGAAGAGCTGGGAAATCTCCAGCAGCTCAGCTGTCTTGGGCTTTCTTTCAATAACTTCTGTGAACTGCCAGCAATTTGTGAGAAACTCGTCGCCTTAGACAAACTAGCCCTGGCAGGGAACTTGCTGGAGACCCTGGACCTGGCAATGCTGAACCGTATGAGTCACATCAAAAGTGTGGACCTGAGGTAAGGGGGAAGCTTGCAGGTGTCTATAAATCCAGATTGCTGCCTTCTAGTAGCAGCAGAGGAGCTGTGTAACTTCTAGTACGTTTTGCAATAAACTAGGTGCAGTTTTTTGTCTTACTGATTCTTTAGCTTTTAGGGAGTTCTGTTTCTGAGGGTGTGCAGAATCCACTTGGAAAAGCAGGGCTAACTGAGCAGTGCCTGACACTGAATGTGACCCAGCCCTCTAGTTTCCTCTTGTGATATGTTGTTACGCTGAGCTTTGGTAGCTCTTTGATCTGTCCTTCCCTTTCTTGCCTCCTGGCCCTAGTGATGTGATCCTGATTCTCCAGGCTGCCAACTGCAGTACTCTCAGAAAGGAACAAAGAGGTTTTTGCTGTGGTCAGGCAGTCTAATGTCCTCTGCATTAGCTTTGTGTGTTAGTGTAAAATAGCAGTCCCTTGACCTGGCTTCTCTTTCCTAGACTGAATCTTTCTTCAGAATCTCTTAGAAACTGGGGAATGAGTAAAATGGTTACACATGGTAGTGTAGACAAAGGAAATGTTTTTGTTTGTGTTGACTGCCTGAAATTCACCATTGCTCCTCATGCATTTCACTGTGCTTACCTTTGGTGTTAGCCTTCACCAGAACTCTTCCTTTCCTTTTGTTTCTTCTCTCTTCTTACTGATGTCCAGTGTTCAGTGTTCTGTTTTCTGACTTTTTAACTCATCTCTGAGTGTTTAGGCTGAACAACCTGAAAAGAGCAACTGCTGACACTCTGGAGGGGAACAAATCTGTGACTTACATGGATTTACGAGACAATCAGATGACAGATCTGGATCTGAGCTCCTTGGGCAGCCTGGAGCAGCTGCACTGTGAGCGGAATAAGCTGAGAGAGCTGACGCTGAGTGGCTTCTCCCTTCGGGCCCTCTATGCCAACAGCAATTGTATGTCTCTATGTCTTCTTCACCTGCCTTCTCCCTTTAAGCCTCAGGAGTAAAGGAAAACAGCCATTTGCCCTCTCCCACACATAAAATAATACTTAATCTGGTGTTATTGTGGCAAGACCGTATGTGATGGGTCCTCTGAGGTTAACTCCTAGGGATCACATATGCATGTGTGTGCACAGGATGTGTACCGGGGGGAGGTTGTGGTGTTGAGTTACTGTCCAAGGAATTCATCTACCAGTGAGATCTGTCGGGGAGCTCACAAAGAAAAGTACAGTTCTCCTTTGTTCTGGTGCCCCACATGACAGGTTGAGAAATGGGATAGTGAGATGCTGTAGTGCCATATGGCAGATGTATGAATTGTGAATTCTGTGTTAGATAGGATCAATAGAGACCTTGAGTCTCCATAAAGAAAGACAATGAGTCTCATTTTCCCTGTGCTGTTTTCTCTCTGAAGCTCTGCAATCAGACTTATTTGCTTTACTTCATCAGGTCTGGCAGCTGTCAATATTTATCCGGTTCCTGCTCAACTGACGTGTCTAGAACTCTCTCAGTAAGTGACCATACAGCACAGAATTTAAAGCAAGTATCTGGACACCTTTGCTGTTTCCTACAAAATTTTCTGGAAGTTTTAAGCTTTCGACAGAGTTGAGAGCAATTAAACACAATATAACTGCAAAGCTTGGCACTAAAAGTGGTGAAAGTGTTCCAGACCAGAAGCTCCTCTGAACCAGTATGGCCTGTCCAGGTGACTGGCTGTCCTTCAGCTGTAGTCTGTGATCAGAAAAGCCAAGCAGGGACCACTGAACTTGTGGCAGCTTACTGGGCTGAATGGTGGGGATCTGTGGAGCAAACATTTAGAGTAGCTGCCAGTGGTCTCTGCTGTTGCTTTCATTGCCTATGTCTGCCTTTGGAGCAGTGTTGTGAGACCTGCAAGACAGGATGCCCTCCCAAGTCATGCACCAGCTCAGTTTGCATTACACAGCTTAGCCATGAGATAAATTCCATATGACTAACTTGGATGCTGGTGTTCATTTTTTGTCTGTTGTTTTTGGTTTGGCTGTCACTAACTTCATTCAAACAGGGTCTGTTCCATATAGAACGCTGGTGTCTAGCTTTTCCCACTTGCTTTTCTCAGCAATCAACTACAGTGTGTCCCAGACTGGGCCTGTGAAGCAAAGAAACTGGAAGTTTTGGATGTGAGCTACAACCTCCTTGTGGAGCTTCCATCAAGGTCAGCAAACCTTTGTAAACGGAGCTGAGCTTTCTTCTACAGTGAGCTGTCTGGGAACAGAGAGCAGCAGTGCTATTCCAGTTGCTTTATTCCTTGTTGTACGCAGATATAATCCACTTTATCTATGCAGCATTGAAAATACTCTGTATTCAAATGTTGGAAGGAACTAATTTCTAGGTCAGCCTCTTTAACAACAGAGGCCAGGTAATTCCCTCCTGTGCTTTTGGCTGCTACTACCGCTGTTTGCACCTGATATAGAACACACTGCTATGACTTATTTGTGTTATCATAGTGTCTGTGAACACAGGTCAGGTCATAGGTGAGACCCTAATATGTACAGAAATTTTATCTGTTACCTTTGATGGGGAATCACCACAAAGGGACAATACAGCTGATCTCAAAGGTAGCTTTTACAGCACATAATCAGCCAGCTCCTTTCTCTCTGTTTCCCTTTCACTTTCTGCAGAAATGCAGTAAAGGAGAGCCAGGAACTAATATAAGTTTTCAGGTATTATGGTATGGAGGATATTCTGGGAAGAAGCAAAGCAGCTTAACAAGGGTGTTTGGTGGGGGTGTGAGTGTAATGAATGACACAGTGTCTAGGGTAAGCTGCATTAAAATTGAATGGAGGAGTGGGTGGCAGGGAAGAAATGCAGAGCATAGGTTGAAGAAGTTAAAGCAAGAGGCATAGGAAATGATAGACAGTGACATTCTAATGATTGTCACAGAAAAGTTATATACATCAAAAGCAAGAAAAGGATGTAACAAGGATGTGATAATGAGAAGTTAGAAGATAATTTTAGCCATATCAATGGATGAAAGAGATCAAATTTTATATATGTTATGCAAAGAATAATTTACTGCCTCGGGAATAATGCAGGAGTGTTAAGCAGCTAGTTAAAGCTTTGAATTTAGATTGGCACCAGGAAGCACTTCTTTCTGCCTGCAGCTGAAAGCAGGCATTTAAAGCCATCCTTTTGACTTCTCTGTCTGCCTGAGAGAATGCTGGGCACATGCACACCAACAGACCTGCATCACAAGATACCAGTCTGCAGTAGAATAGAGGGAAATGCAGATATGCTTCCAAGCATTTAGAGTGACTGAGGCATTGTGTGTTGTTCTGCTTTGTCATTGTTTACATTTTATGGATCGGTGTATTTTAATTTTTCTCTGCTATACAGTCAAATTAAGTGGATTAAATACTACCTTTCCCACTCTGGGGATGTCAAGAGGAGTGAACCAAGTTAAACAGAAAACCCTGTGTCCTTCTAGGGTCCTCAGCAGCCTGAGCCTTCGGAAGTTGATGGTTGGGCACAATCGTCTGCAGAGCCTTCCACCTCTTCTAGAACACATTCCACTGGAGGTGCTGGACCTTCAGCACAACCTGTTGACTAAACTCCCAGAGACACTCTTTCTCAAGGCTCTGAAGTGAGTGTCAGTAGCAAATGTCTTTTGTCTGCATTATCCTTTGGAGCCATAAAGGCTTAAAGTGGCACGTGCGTGACTGTCCTTGCAAGGTGCTGTTTGCACAAGAGATAACAAGGTGTGCCCTTTATGAGGAGGTAATTCAGGTGCCATTAGGGAAGCTATCAAGCTGATTTGAAGGAATCAGTCCATGTTACTGTTAAATTACAGGAAAAGAGAGGCTTGCTTAACCCAACAGCCAGCTGAAGAATTAGCTTCAGTTGCAGTTGTTTTTAAGATCACATTACTGCCTGAAGAGCTTTGTTTCTAAAAGTAGTCGTAAATTCAGGTGCAAAGGAAAGAAGCCAGACAGATTTTCAGATATTGCAGCAGAAAGTACATCAGGTCACTGGAGAACAATGAGAGAGACCTTTACAAATGAACAACCCTTCATAACTGTCTATTCAGAGAGGAATCAGACCTTCTTTTAAAGTCTTACTAAAGGTTTATGGTGTGTGCTTCCACCAGTATTACCCACAGGCTCTTCAGTATTCACTGTTTACTGTAAAATGCTGTGTGCATCCACAGTGTTATATAGCTAATATGTCATTAGTAGACTCATAAATCTTAAAGTGAGTAGGGATGTTACAGTGCTGTCTGGCCTCCTGTCTGATGCTGCTGTCCACACTGGCATATGTATAGCTTATTTTCCCGCTGTTAATAGAGTGGTTTGGATGATGTGAAGTCTGATTCTTGCACTTGCTGTGGTTAGCCTCAGGTACCTGAATGCATCTGCAAACAGTCTGGAGTCATTGCCCTCTGCATGTGTGGGGGAGGAGAGTCTGAGTATGCTGCAGCTGCTGTACTTGACCAATAACAACCTCACAGATCAGTCCATCCCTGTCTTGGTGGGACACCCAAACCTACGGATCCTGCATCTGGCAAACAACAACCTGCAGACTTTCCCTGCAAGGTAAGTCAGTAAGACTTCTGGGCACGACAGTGCTCCCCAGGATTGTAGGGGAGCCAGAGACAGAGCGAGATGCTCTCCCTGTGGCTTGATGACAAAAGCCTGACATTTCTACACACAAAGTCAGGAGAAGCATGTTAAGGGATTGGCACAAGGTACTGTTGTCTGGAGGGCTTCCTGTCCTCCTAGTTGTGGTGCCATCCAGAGGGACCAAGGGATACACCTAGTTGTGTGGACGGGGTGGTATTTGCAGCTTCAGCAGTGATAGTAAGGGGGCCTGTCTGTTGTAGAAATCCAAGCCAGGCACATCCAAGCCAAGCCAACCCTACACTCTTACTAGAGCATCTCTTAGGACTTTTGGTCTCTTATCAATAAATCAGAAAAGTAGCTCATAAAGGGCAATGTCTATGGATTCTGCAGCTTCAGAAAGTGACAAGTTCTTATCTGTAAGTTACAGTACTTTTTTGTTTCCTTTTCAGCAAACTTAGTAAGCTGGAACACTTGGAAGAACTGAATCTGAGCGGCAACAAACTGAAAACAATTCCTACAACAGTTGCGAACTGCAAGCTACTTCATACACTTATTGCACATTCTAATGAAATCAGCATCTTTCCAGAGATCCTGCATTTGCCCCGTATTCAGGTATTCATATGGAGAAGACAAAGAGATGTCAGGGGAAAGTTTGGGTTAGAAAATAAAACTAACTGCTAGAGAAACTAGAGAAAGTGGAGAGAAACTGGAGATCCCAGCAAGGCCAAGTGCAGGTGCTACGGCCAGTATCAATCCGTGCTGGGGGATGAAGGGATCAAGAGTAGCCCTGGGGAGAAGGACTTGGGTGGATGAGAGGCACCCAGAAATCCCACGTGCCCTGGGCTGATCCCACAGTGTGGGCAGCAGGGAAGGGGAGGATTCTGCCCCTCTGCCCCACTAAGATGAGACCCCCACCTGCAGTGCTCCCTCCAGCTCTGGGATCCCTGCACAGGAAGGACATGGATCTATTAAGAGTGAGTCTAGAGGGGGCCATGAAGATGATCAGAGGGCTGGGGCACCTATCCTATGGAGACAGGCTGGGAGAGCTGGGGGTGTTCAGCCTGCAAAAGAGAAAGCTCTAGGGAGACCTTAGAGTCCCTTCCAGTACCTAGAGTGTCTACAGGAGAGCTGGAGAGAGACTTTGGACAAGGGAATGGAGTGACGGTACAAGGGGAAGTGGCTTTAAACTGAAAGAGAGTAGGTTTAGGTTCAATATTAGGAAGAAACTCTTCCCTGTGAGGGTGGTGAGGCCCTGGCACAGGTTGTCCAGAGAAGCTGTGGCTGTCCCATCCCTGGAAGTGTTCAAGGCCAGACTCGACAGGGCTTAGAGCAACCTGGGATAGTGGAAGGTGTCCCTGCCCATGGCAGGGGTGGAAGAAAATGAGCTCTAACAGACCATTCCAACACAAACAATTCTGTGGTTCTATGATTTTTCTCGATCAACTCGAGAACAGGGTACAGGATATGCATTCTAGATCTGTCACCTTTCTGAGTTGATCAAAGATCATCTCTCATTCACCTTTACCCCCTCTCTGACTTGGAATTTCCAGTTTCTGGCATTTGAGACAGTGGGCAATGTTATTATAGCTAGGCAGGTTTGAATATAGAGGCCTTCTTTTATCTTTAGTGTGACCTCGTCTTTCAGTATTGGAGTCCTGGCTATTGCAAGTTTTGTCTTTACTGCTTATAAATAATTCTCCAGCTGACAAGTCAGACCCATTTTCATGACCTGTGTGTGGGAAACAATCAGTAACAGGGCTGTTTGTAAGGAGCATTGGAGTAACTGATGACATGACACAACAAAGAGTATTTTCTTTGTCATTATGCTGTTTGTTGCTACTGCAGTTTGTGGACTTGAGCTGCAATGAGTTAACCGAAATCCTAATCCCTGAGGCACTGCCAGGTGCCTTGCAAGAGCTGGACCTGAGCGGAAACACAAACCTGGTGCTAGAACACAAGACACTGGATATCTTCAGGTGAGCTATCAAGATGTCAACCCAGTAGTGACCTGCACTAGGGGGAAGGGTAACCCTTCCCAGGGGAGGAAATGGGATAGTAAAGTGTGTATCACAGCACTGCATGGTCTAATGTTCCCTGCCTGAGGCAGCTGAGACTTCTGTCTGTAGGTAGGAAAAAGTCCAAAACATAAGAGCAAGCAGTTTTTCAGGTCGTATGAGGTTCTCCCAGCTGTCTCTGGCATAAGCAGCCAGATATCTCCAGAAGGCCAAGACCTTAAATTTCTCTCCTTGATGCAGTTTTTTCCACAAACTGCTATCTAAAACTCTTGACTGGACAAGGTCCTATGGCTACAACCTGTTCAGCAGGGTCTAGAAGAGCGTGACTTCTGTTCTCTCTGTAGTCACATTACCACACTGAAGATTGATGCTAAGCCCTCCCTCACGGCAGACTCGGCACTCACTTCTTCCTTCTGGAGTCACGGTGTAGCTGAGATGGCAGGCCAAAGAAATAAGTGAGTATTGTGGTGTGGTGGATGCTGATACTTTGTCTTCTGAGGGTGCTGGGCAGAGTGCACTGCTGAGCACCCATGCAGACCTGTTTTGCCCAAGAGCTCATCCGTCCCATCCATCTCTCCAGATTTCTTACTAAGTCCTAGTAACACAAACCTCCACATTGTCTTTTCTTTCAACTTTCACACTTACTCTAGGACACTTGGACTTTCCTTCCCACTCCAGCAGAGATGCTTTTTCTCTTGCCAGCTGTGCATGTTGCCCTTTCCTGCTTGTGGTCATGGAGGGTTTGGGAGTTCCAATAATAAAGTTCAGCTGTACATCTCCCGGGGCAGTGACTGTAGGGACAGTGGCTTTGCTACCCTGTCAGAGTGGCACTCACAGCAAGGTGCCTGATGGCTATGGTTTTGGGGACCATATAACCTTTTAAGACATATTAACTTCACTTGTATGCTTTTGTGACAGACTGTGTGTGTCATCCCTGGCACTGGGGAGCTTTGCAGAGGGGGTGGAAGCTGTCTATGGCATGTTTGATGGTGACAAGAATGAAGAACTGCCACGCTTACTGCAATGCACCATGGCCGATGTGCTCCTGGAGGAGGTACAGCAGTCAGACACCATGTTCATGTCCAACACCTTCTTGGTCTCCCACAGGTAGGACAGTGAGCAAGCTGGTCCTGGTGGGACCTGCACTGGCATATCAATGTATTAGGTGGGGTGAGGCAGCCTTCCAGAATGCCTGTCACTGGAGTCTGGAGCCTCCTACACCTTCTCCTCCCACAGGAAGCTGGGCATGGCTGGGCAGAAGCTGGGTTCCTCTGCTGTCCTGTGCTATATTCGTCACGAGGTGGCTGATCCAGCCAGCAACTTTTCTCTGACGGTCGCCAATGTGGGGACGTGCCAAGCCGTTCTGTGCCGAAGTGGAAAACCGCTGCCTCTCTCCAAAGTCTTCAGCCTTGAACAATGTTCAGAAGAAGCCAGGAGGGTCAAGGAGCAAAAAGCCATTATAACAGAGGTTTGTTTGGACCTGTTTTACTTCAGTTTCACCCTCCCATAAAAGCTTGAGCTCTGCTGTTTGCACAACAGTGTAGGGGAGAGGGTGACATGAAGGTGTCTGAGTGACTTGGCTGGTGCTTCCTGCTCTGCTTCTTTTGCTGATTGGCTGTTGGAAATGACATGTTCCTAAAACACTCATTATGGCCTGAGAACTACAGGTACAGGATGACTGGTTTTATGCAAAGTATTAAAATTATTTCTGGAGAACTCTGTAAAGGTTAATTTTCTAAAAACTTGGAAATAACAAGCAAGTTCCAAAGAACTGGAAAAATACATCAGCAGTAAAGATCTTGAGAAGTCAGCACCAGTTACTTTAGTTTTATGCTCAGTGAATCTTTTAAAAAGTATCAAGTTGTTAGATAGAAGTGTTTCTCATAGGGATAATCTCACTGTGTATAGCTCTGCAAAGTGCTGTAACACTGCACCATACCACTCTGACTGAAAAGAACTGTGGGATCAATGTAGCACATTAAATGCTTTAGAAACTGGCTCATTAATGGATTCTGAAAAACAAAAGCGAAATAATTGTCTAAGGAGACCTTCCCTGCATGTGTCCTCTGCTGCGTTTTAATACTTGGCAGCAGCAGCAACATTAACACCCAGAGGATATAGAAATTAAGAACCCTGAAATTAAATTCAAAACACTGGGGAAGCTGCGTACTCTGTAGGCACTGACTTGGAAAAGGGACTGAGGCCTGTGGGCACTTTTCTGTCCAAGAGGCTACTGCCAGGCTGGCCAGGAGATGATCTACCAGAAGGGGGTAATACATCCCTGTTACAGAAACAGCGTGAGATACCTACTTGTTCTTTTCTTCCTCAGGATGTAGTGTCCACACTTCAGAATGCAGTTACATGTGAACAAAGAGGGAAATAGTTCAGATAATACACAGAAATCATTCAATGTCAGGATAATCTGCCTTGCACTGAGAAACTCAGAAGTCACTATCTCACTTGTACTGAAAAAATACATTTAATGTGAGACTTGTGAGACTCTCTGATCAGTGTGCTGCAGGGAGTCTGAACATTTCAGAGAGTCTGCTACAATTCCTCAGGGTGCCACAAAAAGTCTTGTGGAGTACAAGTGTGCCATTGCCAGCATGGGTAGTGGAGGTTACTGTACCTGCTGATGAGGTACAGTGAATGTCTGTGCTGTAGTACCTGCACATAGATACCTTTCTCCTATACTGGAGCTGTGTAACTGGCATTTCTCAAGGCTCCAAACCAGCATATGGGCAGAGGAAAGGTTGCTCTCCAAATGATCTAATAGCACTTCCAAAGCTACTGTCTTATTTCTCTTGTCTGCAGGACAATAAGGTCAATGGTGTGACCTGCTGTACTCGGATGCTGGGCTGCACCTACTTGCATCCTTGGATCCTGCCCAAACCACATGTCAATTCGATTCCACTGACTGTACAAGATGAGCTGCTACTTCTAGGGAACAAAGCTCTCTGGGAACACCTTTCTTATGCAGAGGCCATCTCAGCCGTGCAGCACCTACACGACCCACTAGCTGCTGCAAAGAAACTCTGCACTTTAGCCCAAAGCTATGGTTGCCAAGACAATGTAGGTGCAATGGTGGTGTGTCTGAACATCAGTGAGGACAACTGCACGTGTGAGATGCATGGCCTGACTCTGACAGGTCCTGGGGGATTTAGTTCCACCACCACCAAGCCAGCAACACCTTCATCTAGCAGTGGAATTGCTTCCGAGTTCGGCAGTGAACTGTCTGCTTCTGAGGTCAGCAGTGAGGTGGGTTCTACTGCTTCAGATGAACACAGTGCTGTTGGTCTTGATGGCAGTTTGCTACCACGACAAGAGCGACGTTGCAGCCTACATCCTGTGCCCCCCTCGAGCATCTTTCAGCGCCAACCTTCCAGTGCCACCTTCTCTAGCAACCAGTCTGACAACGGTCTGGATAGCGATGATGAGCAGCCTGTGGAAGGTGTGATGACAAATGGCAGTAAAGTGGAGGTAGCAGTGGACATCCACTGCTGTAAAGGAAAGGGCCTGGAGTTTGAATGTCTTGCTGCAGAGTACAACTCCCCTGCTCCAAGGCCAGAGGATGACTCTGGGCTCATCCTCATCATTCGGAGACAGAACAGCGTAAACAGCAACACTGTGCAGAGAGGGGTCAAAGAAAAGTGTGAACTGCAAAAATCTCTTTCCACGTGTTGTCTTTATGGAAAGAAGCTTTCCAATGGCTCCATAGTGCCCTTGGAGGAGAGCCTCAACCTCATTGAAGTAGCCACAGAGGCACCCAAGAAGAAGACTGGCTATTTTGCTGCTCCATCCCAGATGGAGCCAGAAGATCAATTTGTGGTGCCACCTGATCTGGAAGAGGAAGTGAAGGAACAAATGAAGCAGCACCAGGAGAATGGAGCAGATCAGGAGCCAAAAGAGGAACATGCAGCACCCCTGCCAGAGGAATTTGACACAGCTTTGTAACCCTACAATTACCACTCCCACGTTGTCTGTCCCAGGAAGCTCTGTTTCATAAGGGCTGTCTTGCCCTCCAAGCAGACCTGGGATCTGCAAGGAGTACAGGCACCTGCTGCTTCCTTAATGGAGTCGAGGAAGAATCAGGAGTGCCAAGGTCTGGGCTGTCCACTTTTCACTGCAGAGTCTCAGTTGTTCTATGAGCACTCAGACCAGCAGCTGAGCTCTGTGATAGGGACTGTCTGTAACTCCTTAAACACTGAGGTTCTGCCAGCTCTGCAGGAAAGGGTCTGGTGTACATGTGTGTGGGGTGAGGAGGCTGCTGAAGGGGAAATGTTCAGTGTTAAGAGTCCTATGAATATTTCTAATGCAGTGTCCCGCCCTCCCCCCCAACACCTGACTTTGTTATTCCTTGAAAGAATACAGACAGTTGCAATGAAGCTGACCTAAGAATGATTTCCTACATTAACTGCAAGCACTTTTATTGATTGCACTTAAGCTGTTCTTCTCCCCTTCAGCCCAGCACTTTATTATTTAGGGTTAGGGGAGAAAGCACTCCACAGCAGGTATGCTGGGGGCTTTTTCCAATGGATATTGTTAGGGCAGTGGAGGACTCAGGGTACCAGTGTTCTGATGAGCACTGGTGCAGGAAGAGTGAGGGTTATGATGGGATCATCCTGTGCAGAATGAGAAAATACATAGCTGAGTGATAAGCAGGTGCCAACTGATGCATTTCATATGGAGCATAGAAAAGATCAGCTCTGGACTGGTTGATTCAGGTAATGTGTAGAGCTAGTGCTTGTCGCTGCAGAGCACAGACCCAATTCATCAGCAACTTGGCCACCTCCATCATGGATGCTTCAGAGTAGTGGCTTCCTCTATCCAGAAGACATGGGATAAGCCCAGGAGCTCGTGCTTGTCTCAGTGCTGTGCTGCTCCAGGGCTGGCGAGCAGTGGGGCTGCCCTGCTGCACCCAGTGCTCTGTTCCACCAACACAAATGTCTGCACTGTCAACTACAGTGTCTTTGCTTGCCTCTGAAAACAGGAGTCATATTCCAAATTCACAGCAACCAGTATTTCATGGTACATGCCCAATCTGGCCACAAACGAGGTGAAAGCATACTTGTTTCTGCTTAGTTTTCAGTACTAAAAAAGCTAAAATAGAACTTTTCATCTTAGTAACATCTATATCAGAGCTGAAAAAGATGTTTAAAACAGCCCCACTAGTGGCGAACAGGCCAGTCTGCACTCAGATGCATTGTGTTTCCAGTAGGATTTTTGGTGCAGGGTGTAAGTTGGCTGCCTGTGTTGTCACCTTTGTAAGGGTTGTGGAGACCACTGCCCCTGTAACATGCAGATCTGTCTTCCTTGCTGACAGAGCTGGACAGCAGCTGCCCCGGTCATGTCAGTGGTGCAATAATCCTGACTGTAATGTGGGCTAGTGCCTTTTCTTCTTTGTTAATTATATTTATGAAGAAAACTTAGGAGTTTCTTCTGGAGAGATCTGAGGGGCTTGAGTTGTCTATTTTTGGATCAAATTTAGGTCTTGCTCAGAAGGAAATACTGTGCAGACTACTTGTGGGATTCTGTCAATGTCAATATAAATCTTTTGACAAAATCTAATGGGGTTTTACTCAAAATTTCAAAGCACCTTGAATTTCTTCTTAGTGGGAAAAAAACGTATTTTTACCATGCATGAGGAGCAGCATTTAAGGATATGCTTTGTGCTGGTTGCAATGTAATCATGAAACAACCCAACTTTTTCCAAAGTTTAAACTCACACAGTTTTTGGTTGTTTAAATGCCTGTTTCATTTGGAACTGGAGATTGAAGCTAATTATTAGAATCACAGAAACAACAGCATTTGAATCCCTTAGGCAGAGAAACAACAGCAGAAAAGGTTCAAATGCTAAACTCCAAATTTCTTTCATGTTCTCATCATATAAGTGCAGAAAAGACTCATCTCAATGTATTTGACTGCAACTTTTGATTCCGTCACTGGCGATAACTTTACCAAATACCTGTGCCTAGCCCAACACCTTCTGATACCTGAAAGGGCTGCAGAGCAGCCTCTGTCCACAGTGGGACTGATGCAGGAACCCTTCTTTCTGAGTAAGACTGTGACAAACCTTGCACTCCGAGAGTGGCGAATGTTAATGCAAATCAGGTCTCTATTTCTTGCACTGATGTGGAAAGTCCAGTGTGTCCTTGCCAGTCTGAACCAGTAGCATTGTGTGGAGAGTTGCCACAAGGAGTTAGTAATGAATGGCTCTACCTAGCTCAGTGTTGAAGGACTAAGGAAAACAGCTCTGCAATGGAGTGTGCAGATTTCTGAACTGCTCCTCTTCATGGTATTGGCAGAATGGAACACAAGGAATTCCTGCTTTTTCTCCAGTGCTGTTTCTGGTTTTGAAGCAGAATGGGAGTTTAATACAGCCAGCTCCTATTTTCTATGGGTATGAATTGTCATGGAAGACATGGCTTGTTATCTTCCTTACACTCTAGGTAGAGTCTACAGATTTCTCTGCTTAAGCTGGTATTATGAACTGTTTGTCTCACTCTGGGCAGCACAGCCTGAGTTGACTTTACCTGTTCCAAATAATCTTCCTCTGTTTGGCTAAGATGAGCATTGGTGTCCTCAAGCAGCTTCTGCATATCTTCTGTGTGCTTCTTCCGAAGATTAAGCTTTTCCTTTTCCACTTCAGCCACGGCATTTGTGAAGCTTTTTTCCACTCATCCAAAATCCTTTTCATGCATTAAAAATAGTGCCTGTTAACTACAAAAAGTGCTTCTTTTTCCTAGGCCAGTTTTGGGTGTCAGCAAAGACACTGACATCATTTTTTCATGCAAATGTCTTGGATTTTCTTACACAAGATTCCAGCTCTTGAGACACGCTTCAAGGCTGCTGTCCTCCAAAAAAATGGGTGTTTTCTGACATTGGTCAGACAGGGGTGTGGCTGGGTTATCTTCATCTTTCTTCAGTAATTCTGGCTCTGCTGATGAGCTCCCTCACCAAGAAAGGTACTCTGAAAAGGTACTGACCTGTCTGCCCTGTCCTGTCCAGAAAGGCTTCTGCAAAAGGAACCCATAAAGGTTATCTTCAGTCGTGGGTTGTCGGGGCCCAGGTGTTAAGGATAAGGGATATCCTCCAAGTTGCCCCCAGCACCAGGAACAGGCCCAATGAAGGCAGCATCACAGGCTGTTCATACCAGACCAGAATCTTCGGTTAGATGACAGGATAAAATCCTGTTCCAAGGAGGAGAACAAGTATTTCTCTCTCTCAGGGACAGGCTGCTGTGAAGTCTGAAATCCTTCCCCTAGTACACAGGACCTTGAGCCACACCTAAGGCCTCGGACCTGCAGAGCTTCTGCACTCCTTCCAGATGGTGACGGCTTCGTGTCCCTTGCCAAAGGCCTTCTTCAGGCAGTAGGATCACCTCTTTGGTTTTGTGCAATTGTTGTCTGCTGTTCTATTGCTATCTGAAGACTCAACCGTCTTTTTCCTCTTTTTTCACATTTTAAAATGTTGCCTTTTTTTAAACTTGACTCATGTGACCCAACGCATGTTAAAGAAATATTGCAGTGCACCGATTGTTTATTAAATTACCTTTTTTCATGGGTTTTTTTGTTTGTTTTTAAAAAGGAGAGTATTTTCTGTATCCCTGTACACTCTAGCATGCACCTATGACAATCCCTGTTTTTATTGTGTGTGGAGTAGGTTGTCCAATGAATGCACCTTCAGCACTGTGGCCTATGTTTGTATTGCTTTGGAGAGGTAAATAATGTCAGATTGCTGGAAAACACTAGCCCATTGATTCTTTATTCAGATGTATAGAGCAGTTCAGGAAGGAAGAATATTTTTGCATCAAATTTTTGGCTGACTTAGCAATAAAGATTTTTACTTTCATCTAACAGTTTATTCTGATTCTGTTACTGTGCTGGAGGGAATTTGTGCCATATCACAGTCAAAGGTAGCTGTGTCTAGCAGCAGCTGTGCTGCAGGTTCTCCTTCACTAAGCTCTCTGGGCTACTTCACTCATCAGCCTTCCATACAAAAGCTACTTGCAGAACACTGTGAGGGTGGAATTCATAATACCAATTATTAAGGTAGCTTTCTGTTGCCTGCTAGAGGAATCCTGCCCTGTGAACTTGCTCTAAATAGCACTGTACAGCTCTCTAGAAGTAGCTGCAGCAAGGGGACATAATGAAATCTTAATAGGAATAGGACCACAGTGGGCTGTCCACATAAATCCCTGTGCTGAGACACTTGATGCATCTAGCTACTAAGAGGCAGGAGAAATCAATCAAACCCCAGAGCACCTGGCGTGTTCCTATTTGGCATCTGTTTTACTTTCCTGTCTCTAGTTCCAACAACATTCCATGGTTTTGGTAATAGTGAGGATTTAGTCACTGGCGCCAGTGAAAGTGGAGATATGTCCAAGGCAAAGCATGTTTCTGGCGTGTTTAGTTTATTTAATATGGGCAGAACTCATCTGTAAGACCATAGTTGTTCCATTCTCATATGAACAATGCACATAGTGGGCACTGCTCTGAAATGACATTTCATTTTGAGGCACAACTTGGTGATTCTAGTGCTACTTTTCCCAGTTAAATTTCATATAAAAGTCTTTATAGGAAAAAAATATGAGTAGCATCTCATTTCCCCAACTTGTACATTAAAAATGTATTTTGAAAACAATATACTTGTACATTAAACCGCTTTGATCTCTTAAAGCTTTTGTCTGATTATCCCAACTTAGGGCATCTTTTTAAGCAAAACTGTTGTATACAAGTTATATAAAAGACCATTTCATACAAAAATGAGCCCTCTCCAGGAGTTTGAAATGACATTGTGTCACAAGTTATACCGAGTGTATCCATCATTTTGCAAGGTATTTTTAGGATTTTTTGATGGCCTTATAAATGCCATGTTCACACTGCGCTGTTAATTCCAAGAGACCTACAAGGAAGCAATATTTAGCTGCCACAACCATGGGCCTCAACCCCTTGTTTTTAAGAGATCTGTTCTCAGTGAAGTCATGTGCCTTTTGTAATGACAGTTTTGGTTACACAAAGCTGTTCAGCAGCAGAAAGATGTAGTGGCAGGACTTGTAGCAAGACCTCACTGGAGGAGAACAGGACACCCAACAGTGGGACGGAAGGGCTGCCTGTGAGGCAGGAGACAAGTCATTGGATTAGCTTTGAGTCGATAATAATTCAATAACGCAAACTCAAGTTAGGAACAGCCTGACTACCATATTTAGAGCTACACCCACTTGGTGTGTGTTCTGCTGCAGCATTAAGGCTGCACTGCCTAGAAGCAAGGAAAGCATACTGCTTCATCTAAGGAGACTGGCAAAAATCATGACCATTACTGGAGTGGAGGAATCATTTGAAAGCTCTTATAATTGTACTGGCTTCTGTTTCTGTTGGCAAACTGCCCTGTACCCTCTGACAGCCAGGACTGCACTCAGCAGGTATGCCACAGTGGCCATGCAGCCTAAAAGGCCAACAGCAACCTCTGCCCCATGCAGGCTGCAGCTGAAGCCCTGATAGCCTTTGCTTTGATAAAGCTGCTCTCTCTCTTTGCACACTGATGAATTATAAACTCCCACCATAGAATGGAAGAAATAGTACAGAGCAGGCACTGTGCCAACTGCAATCGCTATGTCCAGGGCGCATTCAATTAGCAGCCATGCTGGGAAATGCCATGGTACCTGGAGAACACCAACCAAAATAAGAATACAAGGGAAGACCAGGAGACACCCTCCCACGGCCATCGCCGCCCTTGCAATGGGCAGCTTCAGGAGGTAGAAACGCTGGTCAAGCTGCTGGGCTCGCTCCCCGTCCGCTCCACTGAAGCCGCTGTAGGCCCCGCCGTAGTGGTAGTAGTAGATGCCCCCCAGGGCGGGGAGGCCGGTGTATCCTCCCACCGAGCCGCCGGACACGGAGCTGCAGACGAGGACCAGCACGGCGAGCAGCACCTCCACCATCTGGCAGCAGGCTGCAGGGGAGGCCAAAGTGGGTCGGCGGCCGCGGCGGAGCGCCCGGGCGGCCGGCAGGGAGCCGGGCCGGGCGCTCCGCTCGGCGGGACGGTGGGGGCGGCTCCCGCCCGCCGCGCTCACCCCGGCCCGTGCGCAGGTACCGGCAGCGGCGGCGCTCCAGCGGCTCCTCCGGCGCTGCTCCGGCCAAGGCGCTGAGGGGAGATGAGAGCGGCGATGGCAGCGACCCGCCCGGGCCCCTCCCGGCCACCGGCCCGGCCTGTCCAGCCTCGGCCCGCCCTCCCCGGCCCCTCGCGGCCGCCCGCCCGCTCCCCCTCACCGCCCGCTCCCCCCTCACCGTCCGCCCGCCATGGCGCGCCCCCTCCGCCCGGCCCCGGGGCAGCCCCGCTCGGCCATGGCCCGGCGCGGCCCCGCTCGGCCGGCACTGGGGACGGGCGGCGGGGACGGGACGGGCCGCCCGCCTCGGGGTAGTGCCGGCGCGGTGACCTCCGTCCTGGCCGCCCAGTGCTCGCCTTAGCCCCGCCGGGTCCTGCCGAGGGCGGTGGAAGCTCCGGCCCGGTCCGGCCCTGCCCCGCCCGAGGGTGCTCGGCTCCCGGCGCAGGGGCGCGGCCCTGCAGCACCTGCGCACGGTTCGCCTGCTGCTCGCAGGTGTGCCCGCTCCCTTTCGCTCGCATGGGCACTGTCCCCGCAGCCCCTTGCGGCGACAACGTCCCGAGGTTTCCCACCTGCCACAGAACATGTGCTTGTTAGTACCCATTGGAAACTGATTAAATTTCACTAATAAAAGATTCACAATTTTACAAGTTCCACTTCCTCCTGTGCTGTGAGTTTTAGTGAAAGTGTTCTTCTTTCAGTTTGCCTGCCACCTTCTGCCTCTGTAGACTTCAATCTTGCCGCTCTGTTCCCTTATGAAACCCCAGTCCCAGTCTTCTTTGTCTCTCCTGGCACAGCAGTGTCACCATTCCCTGCGTTGTACCTACTGCCCTTCTCTGGACCTGCCCTAACTCCCCTAAACCCATCCTGTGATGCGGTGAATGCATCTTCATCCAGTGCTCAAGACATGAGTGCACCAGGGGTTTACATCACAGCAGAAAAAGTGCCTCTGCCTTGTCCTGGCAATGCACAGCATTTTGTTGTTTCTCCAGCTGTCCCAGCACGGAGCCCGTGTCTCCAGGTACAGTCATGAACACCTTGGGATCTGTCCTGCAGCGCGACTGTCAGGTTCCAGTTCAGAACTCGGCAGACCACATTCAGGTAATTTTCCTTAGATACATTACCTTATATTTATCCATAGAGAACCAAATAGACCTCTCTGTGTCTGTTTGCTGGAGGCCACTTCAGACAGTATGATGTGACCTTTTAATTGGCAATATTGTCTTGCTGCCAATCTGTCCTCCCATTCCAGCAGGCCCCTGAGTGCAGCACCCTCACCTGCCAGCAGTGGAGGTGGTGAATTACTCCTTTGATTACTGGTGGTGGCTGGAGTGAAGGCAAGTGTCCAGGATCTCACCCATGCACAAGTGTCAGCATTGCTCAGGGCTGGTAAGGGCAGATCTGATTCAGGAAAGGGAGAAAAGTAAACAGCAGGACCATTTGAAAACACAAAGATAAGCACAGAAAACTCCACATGCAGAGCAAATGTTTTTATTCAAGAATTTGACCAAACACTGCCTATAAAAGCTCTAGCATTACAAAGAAATAATTTTGTTGCATTTAGGAAAATAGATATTTTCAGGGAAACAGTTACACCATAAGGTCTCAGTGCCCTGAATGTGTGCCCTGAGAGGTCCAAATTTGTCACAAAGATGCAGAAATACATTTCCCCCATCTGTAAGACTGGTGGCAACAGTAAGATTGTTTCACCCTTCTGTCCTTGCAGGAGCAACAGCAACAATCCTATAGACTAATATGGTGAGAAGCCTATAAACTGCAGTACTTCTGCATCTCAACACTATAGGAAAACATTCTCCTCAACATTCACTTGATTCCAGAGGGGACAGGAGTTGTGTGCTAAGTTAGGAAATGGGGAAACCATAGGGATCTCAGAACGAGGTCTCTGGAGATAGTGCAGATGCTCAGCAGTGAGGCTGTTACACACCCCTTTTCATCTGCATATTTTGCATCACTCATGTTCATGTGCCAGAACCTAGGCCTCCTTGCTGCCATGCACAGAATAAGTTTAAAAGCTTTTAACAGCCCTTTGTAAACTTTTAGGATCACGCACAGTGCCATTGGGCTTAGTAGAGCTTTTAACTGACATGAAAGGGACATGAAGAACTAAGCTGAATAATCATAAGTCACAAGAAGGGATGAAATATGTATTTCTTATGCAGAATGTTGCTGCTGGTCATCCAACAACCTGAGCTGAAGCTTTCTTTGGATTTGTGTTATGCTGAAACTACTTGTTCGAAGAAAGAGCTGGAAGTTACCCCTCTGTTGATTTGGAGATGTGTTCAGTGTTTTACTATAGTGTTTGCTGCTAACAGGTGAGGTACAAACTTCAAGGTACTGTCGAACTGAGACAATCTTATTCCACTTTTGTTGCTATAATGAGAAATCATAAAAAAATGCTTTGTGTCACTTCACTCCTACTCAAAGTACCACAGCTGAACTTGGTCAGCATCATCTTCTGGGTTCCTATTCTTACTGCAACAAACAGCAGTCAGCAGAAGAGAGCAATAGGAAGCCAAGGATACAAATATTAACCTTCACCACTGTTTTGGCTTGTCTATTTTTTTTTTTTTTAATTTTTGGCTCTTTTGTTTCTGACCGTTTCTGATGTCATTGCTGCACTAAGAGAGAGAAGGGGCTGGCCTGACTTGCCATGGACCAAGAGCTCTGGCCTGGTTCAATGCCCTCCCTGGGAACTTGGAGGGTAAAGTAGAAGGAGCAAGTCATGAACTCCCTCATATTTCTCCAGTGTGAGGCAGCTGGGAACTGCAGCACAATCACTGCTGAACACCACAACCAGATTTATTGACTGTCCCACATAAATAAATAATCACAGGGACAATGAGTGCAGCATGATGACGATACAGCAATACTGCAGAAAAGAACTGCAGGTTATTGTTAATGACAAACCCAACTCAAGTCCACAATGTCATCCTGTTGCGAAAAAAACTAACATTGCTAGGGTGTATGAACAGGAATGTCACATGTAGGACACATGAAGAAATTCCTCTGCCCCCCCTTCAGTACTGGTTTGGCCTCCAGTCTTGCACACTGTGTTTCCAGAGGCCAGTGGATCAGCTGGAGGGGATCCAGAGGAAAGCAAAAGAAAGCTCTAGAAATACAGCCTATGAGGAAAAGATTGGTCACAGTGATCTCATTTGAAATAACAGGTGTCTGTTAACAACTTGCAAGCTTCTTAATAGAGAGATGTCTAAACAACTTGCAAACTTGTAAAAAGCTGCTGTCAAGAGCAGGGAAATATTTTGTTCTCTCTGTCTGCTGTTGGCGTGGTCAGGAAAGAGTGAGCTTAGCCTGAAGCAAGAGGGATGTCTTTCAGGCACAAAAAAGACAAAAATTCTCCTGCACACACCAACTCCGCCACTTTGTAAAGAGATGAGCAGTTGTTGCAGGAACAGATAGTCAGGCAGGTGGTGGGTTTCCATCACTGGGGCTCAAATTCAGTCATGTGAGGGACTCGCTCGTCTGTGTTCTTGAGAGAAGGAGGTGCTGGTGCTGCCCATGCCACTCACTGTGAGCTCACAGTGTCATTTCACCCCACAAAGCCACTGTGCCCCTTTCCACCCCACCCCCACCAGCTGGTCACTGTCCCTGTGGCTCCAAGGCCATTGGGGAACAGCTGCCACAACGCAACAGCTCAAGTCTCTGAAGTCATAACTCAAACACAGGATATGCATTTACCTGGATAATGTTTACCTGGATGTAAACAAGCACAAGCATGGACAAGGTGTTTCTCTTCGCTGTGCCTGTACCCAGAAACCAATAACACTCTTACTTTGTGGAACATTCCTCTCAGCATCCGTAACAATCTTACAAATCTCAGGCCCCTCGCTCACTGGTGCTTCCAACTCCCCAAGAAGCTGGAGTGCACTGTGTGTCTTTCACATGCCTGCAATGGACTCTGGCCAGGCTGAGTGAGGAAGGGCCCCCATAGCTACCGGGCTCTGTCCCCTCCCCAGGCCACAGTGGTCAGTGTCTGCCTTGCCCAGCACAGCTGCTACCAGGTTGCTGCAGTGCATTTTAAGGTGCTAGTGTTGTGGGAGGGCATGAAAGCATTTGTTGTTTACATTCCCTAGTTTTCCTGACAGAGGGAAATTGCAAATAGTAGGAGATGGTGCTCATGAAGTCAGGTGTATCAATGAAGCTGTTTCCAGTCTGCCCAGGGCTTGCAGAGGAGAGCTCTACCAGGAGCCTAGGCAGGTCCCTGTTCCTGCTGCAATGCCCTGCATTTGTGCACGGTGGGAGCCACTTTGTTCCACTTCCAAAAGAAGTGCAGAGATTAGACAGCTCCCAGATGCCAATGGTCTGCTTTCCAAAGCCCAGCTCACATGGGTGGCAAGAGCATCCTGCTTATCACTTGCTACACACAGAGTACTTTTCCAGAATGAGCCATCTCTACTAGATGGTGCAATTTCAATGTCTTTCAGATTTTTATTTCTGAGATCAAATCAAAATTGATCCTAAATACAGGCAGATAGATAAACTGTAGCTACTGTGTATTTTTAGTCATTCTGTTATTGGCTTTGAGCCACTCTATGTGGCTTGTGCCATCTTTCTGGCTCTTAAATACACTGTTTGCACAGCTTTTCAGAACCTAGCTGAGGTTTTTTTGAGCTGATTTTCTGCTCTGATTATGCAAAGAAGTAACAGGTGCTGTTACAGGTACTTAATTCCATTTCAGCAATTAAGATTGCTGGAGGCACAACCATCACCATGGTTTATCAGAGACTCATGTAGATACATGTAGGTTTGGCACAGCAGCGCTGCTCACGCTGCCAGACAGTTTTAACTATGAATATGTGCATTTTAAGAGTGCTTGTGTGGCCTGACCTGTAAGAGACAAGGTTTGCCCCTTGCATTTCAGAAAACCTGCTGCAGTGTTATAAAGATGCCGTCAGAATCAATAAACAGCCACAACATTCATGAGAGACATGGAGGCTTTATTGCTGTTTGCTCAACAATAAATTGACAAAAAAAAAAAAAAAAAAAAGAAAATCACATATTTGATTATTAAAAGCTGATTCAAGTAGAAATGCAGAGACCAAACAGGGATTAGATTACACACAAATCCTGAACCAGTTGGGACTGTACCAGTGTCTGAAAGGAGCAGACATAAATTGCTGGAAATAAAAGCAAAATATGAGGGGGTAACTATTAAAGTGATTTGTTACTGACCC